ACTGAAACAGAGTATAATGTAGACACTAGTTGTGCTATCCAAGCAGTGTGGTTACGTTGTATGCTTGAATTTTTGCAGCATGCACAAAAATTTATTTCAAAGATTTTCTGTGATAACAAGTAGACAATTGCCTTATCAAAGAATCCTGTTTTTCATGGGAGAAACCATGCATATTTATGTGAAGTACCATTATATTCGTGACTTGGCTATTGATGGTGGGATTGAAATTTTGTATTGTCAATTCGAAGATTTTTTTTTTTATTCAAAGCCACCCAATGTGGGTGGGGGATTTGGCAAGAACCCCTACCTATATATATGACTAAAAGGACAAAGGGAGGAGGATATAGAACCAAGCCTCCAAAAGTACAAAATGAGAAGATCAAAGCAAAAGCAGGGTGGTGACTCACCACCAAAAACATGAAAACAAAGTGGGGACTCTCCAAAGAACAAGAAAATCAAAATCTCACCGACGAACGTGAGGAGTCTATCGAGCATCCAAGATGAGGATGCTAGCAATTCCAAAAGGAAGGGGTGACAAATCAGAAAATCGCTAATTGAGGTGCTGAGAGTAAGCCCAATTAGCCATGAAGTCGGCAGCCTGATTCGGCTCCCGCAAGGCGTGGCAGATGCGAGCCGAAAGAGAAACACATAGAAGGCAAATCCGAGCAAAGAAGTAAGCATAAACCTAACACCCAGTACCCTGAGAATAAATCCAAGAAACCACTGTAGCTGAATCTAACTCCTCTACCAACTCTGAAGCTCCCAAATCTATGGCCAACTCCAACCTAGTACAAACAACCTGCATCTCCGCATACAGAATAGGTTGATACCCCAGAAACAAGCAAAAAGCCTTGAGAACCCGACCCTGGTGGTCCTGAATAACACCCCCTGCCGTAGACAGTCCCGGATTGCCTTTAGAGCAGCCGTCAACACTGATCTTCAGGCAACTTGGTACAGGACGCGTCCAAGCAACCAAACGAAGAAACTGAGGCCGAGGAACCAAGAGCCTAAAAGAACCCACAAACTCAACTGACTCATCCCAACGCAACTGACTCGGAGCAAACCCAAAAGCAAGCCCAATTAACTACATATCATCCATAACCCTCTGAACCACAATGGGCACATGAAAGACCCCGCCATCGAACCTATAAGCATTACGCGCCTTCCATAGGTGCCACAGAATAAAGCACGGTAGCAATACCTGCACGTGATCTGCAAAAGAAGCACAACGCCGCCAACGAAGTATTAAAGCATAAAGAGACTGAAACGGCCAAGATCTGATCTCAAACATCTGATAAAAGTGACCCCACACCTGAACTACAAGCAGACAATCCAAAAAAAGATTCGAGGATCAATTTATAAATATTTTTACCAAGTCACTTAAATCCGTTACATTTATAAAACTTAAACGGATGATGGGGATGATCAAGATTGAAGAGTTTGGTTTAAGGGAGACTATTGGAGTTTGACCCAAATTTTTCAAGTGTTTTATTCCTTATTTATTTGGTAGTAATTTATAATTAAAATTTTAATGAGCTTAAGAGTTTTGACCGTATTCTAGTTTGTTTTGGTGTGTTTTATTAAAAGTTAAATAGGATTAGAATTATTTTTTTATTATTAGAGTCTTTCTTTATGGTTGAAGTTTCTTGAATGACAGAACCTTTATGCCGTCCCTTTCTTTGTCTTTTTGGATTCTTTTTGTTTCTTAATTTCTTGTTTTATTTTCTTAGGCTTTGATTAATTAGTCCATCTTGATTAGGACTGTCAAAATTTTACATGACACGATTAACCAACACGAATTAATATGAATTAAGCGGGTTTGAGTGAAATCTTAACGGGTTTAGGTGATAAACGAGTTGACACGCCAAACATGTTTAATAAACGGGTCGTGTTCGGATGAGACCTGTCAAACCATTTATCACACGTTTATCCGTTTAAATAAAAATAATATAATAATAAATTAATAATTATTTTAAAAAATTAACAAGAAAAAAAGAAGTAAAGAAATCAATAAAAAAAAAGAAGTAAAATAATATTTCAAAAACAAAAGAGATGAGATGGGGAGCACTTCAAAGACAAAGACAAACCAATGTCTTTTGTTTTTGTCCCACATTGAAAAATGAGGAGAGATGGGAAAGGTTGAGTTGCCTATAAAAAACAATGGTCTCTTATTTTATTTTTTTAAGCCTTCAAGTCTTATTTTTATAAGATTTGACTAAAAACTCCTCTTTTTTGAAGTAAGTGCAATTGACAATAAAAAAAGGTGGAGTATTAAAATTAGTTTATATAATATTTTTAAAATAAACGGGTTAAATGAGTCGTGTCGTGTTATCCGTTTATTAAACGGATTGAGTTCGTGTTGAGATTTTTTACCCGTTTATTAACGTGTCATGTACGGGTTTATATATTTTCTACCCGTCATCCGTTTAACCCGACACATAACTGTTTAACCCGACACGTTTGACACTCCTAATCTTGATATAGGACTGAACCCTCGCACATGCCACTAATATTTTATTTTCTCACGTGTGATAGTCGTGACTGTACAGAAAATGATAATATAATGAGATTTGTACAACTTGCAGACAAGGACATACTAGTTTATAACTTAAATAAAAAAACATATTCCTTAATAAAAATATAATGGCATAACATGAGTTATATAAATAATTCGAAATAATTTAACAAAGATTATATTGGGATGAGTTGTACAAAGTTAACCACTGTATAATATGGATAACTATGCCTTGGAGAGCATAACATACTTTGTATACAATAGTTGCCCACTAGAACATATAATTATTATTGAAATGGTGATTCGAAATAAAATAATTACAGTATAACCTAAAACGTGTGAAAAAATCTCGATTGAATTTAGAAATATATGAAGTAAATGTAAGACTTTTTTGATTAATTTTATACTTACTATAACCCATGTAATTTAGACAATAGGGTGAGGTGGTGTTTGTGTAGAATCATGAATGAAAATGCAAAGAGACACTGAATTTAGGCTAGAAATGCATGAGAAATGTAAGGAAGTCATTTAACGCAAAGAAGGTGCTGGGACTGGGAGTGGTGGACTAGCATTCCTCGTGAAACAACTTGCTTCAATTGCAGGTAACTCATACAAAGTGAATTGAGGAGTTAGGCTCAACATTTTTCTTTGCGCACTAATTATCGTATCAGCTTAGACTTCTAGCTGCACAATGCGAACTAACCACAAATTTCCCATGAGCATGAAGATACAGTTGAGATTGCCTACTCTTTTTTTTATGATCCTACCATGGCAAAATTAAGTCAATTTCTTCAATTAAGGTTCAGCCATTTCTCTTCTCCTCTCTTAATTTTTTTTTTTTACTCTTTTTTTTGGGAAGGTGGGAGTTCATCATTTCTTTTTTCTTTTTGCATTTTGAAACATACACTGAATTCTTGTATCGAATTCTCTACTGTAAATAAGGTGATGTAGCATCACAATTATTGAATATTTATTTGGAGTCAATAAAAATTATTAATTCAATAATGTATACATTGATATGGGTTGACAATGACATGTTAAAGAAACAAAGAATGCCAATTAAAGAACCCCGTTAGAGCATTTTTAATAGTACTATTTATTTTAGAGATTATTTTTTAAAAATAGAGAATATTTTTTATAAAATTTTAAAATAAAGCGTGAAATATTTTAAACAATTCAAATAGGGTTTCTATTCTAGTAGAAAAATAGTTTTGTAATTCATAGTATTTAATGAAGAATATATATGTGTCATCTTTTCATTTAATAAAAATAAAATAAATAATGAATTGAACTATGCAAATATAAAGAATCTATTGAAACTTGGTGATGGGACTTTTCTGAAATACTCCAATATGAAGACACGTGTCCTCGGCGTCATTAGAAATCTTGTTATTGAGATCACGTACCATCGGCTTACAATTCCCTCGCCCCCGAGGTACTTGACATTAGGTCAAGTATGTTTTACGAACCGACACGTATCCCTCGGTCTGATATGGTACCTCGGTCGTCATGTACAGCTTCTCTCGGCTCGAGATGTACCTATCCTGGGTACCGAGATGTACCCCCGTCTAGGATGCTTTTTCTCTGCTCCAGTATAAGCTATTGATGTACAGGTCATTAGCCTAGGCTAGTCTAGGTTAGCTATCATGGTCTTGTCTTACACAATTGGTATCAGAAGGCAGGGTCCACAGCCAATGAGGGATGGACGCGTGGCAAATTGTGTCACATCAGAGACAGAAAGACCGCATGCCCTTGCTGACACGCGACTTGAAAAAACAAATATTTAATTATACCATTCCCTTGATGAGACCGCATTCAATGCGGTAAGGCTCGGAATTGAAAGGCAATAAATGTCTCTAAGGCTGGGCATTTATTGCATCCTCCCCGAGTGGAGATCATTAGACAGTCGGCAGCCCGATGACACAGCATTGATTGCTCGGGACTCCGAACAGTTAAAGAAGAGAAGACATTCCTCATCAGAATCAGTGTGCACACTGCTTGTACCTAATTATCATCTACTGACAACACTGACAGCAATCATGAGCTTTTGAGGTATAAATACTCCTCGTAAAAGGCAAAACGGTATGCAACAAAAAACTCTTTACTACGAAATATACTCAGTGCTTTCTTCTTCCTCTCTCTTTCAAAACTGACTTGATCGTCGGAGGGGATAAGCCGGAAAACACTCCGGCGCCCTTCTAACTTGTTCTCCTTTGTTCCAAAAACCTTTCTCCAGCCTTACTGGATCATTCCTTCAATCCACGAGGGTCTCCCGTTGCCGTTCCAGGTTATTACCGGACCTCACAGGCTGTCCCAAGCAGCGTGGTTGACCACTCAACTGACTCACTCGAATTCACCAAAAAAAAAATCTGTTCTCGTTTTTTATATTGTGCAAGATCGTGCACGCACACTTGACTTTTGATGAATGACTCCTATAATATAATAAAGAGTAGGTTCAATTGGAATTGCTCTTAGAAGACACTAAGTCGATCAATCTTTGACTATCAAATTATGTCCCTCTTGGCCCAGCAACCCGTCGGAAATGAAGGGAAAAAAAATTGCCACGCTTGCCTGTAAGTACAGCTGGTGATAATGTCTCGTTACCCAATTTAAGCTAGAGATCTAGAGAGAGATCAGTGAGTGAGAGAGAGATGGGCATTAACGGCTTTTCCACGTTAAGTGAGACAACCGGGAAGGTCATAACTTGTAAAGGTAAGAGATTCATCTTTCTTTTTCCCTTTTTATTTCTTTTTGTTTTTTTGGGTAAAGATTAAGGTTTGAAAAGAGTCGTTGGATTCGATCAAACTCGAAAAAATGCAAAAGATAACATGGGTGTTGCTGATGAAGCTGCCGTGGCACGGGGTCCGGGACAGCCCTTGGTTATGGAGGAAATCCGCGTTGATACCCCTCAAAAAATGGAGGTCCGAATCAAGATCCTCTTCACTTCAATTTGCCATACTGATCTCAGTGCTTGGCAAGGCGAGGTATGGCATGGCATCACACAGTTCGGTTATTGTTTTTCCTTCATTTTTAATTAATCATTCATCTTCAAGTCAACGCCCATCATGCATCTAATTTAATTTTCCTGAAATCATCTATCTAATGTCCCTCCCTCCCTCCCCATGTTGTGATTTTTGTTGGTAGAATGAAGCTCAGCAAGTATATCCACGAATTCTTGGCCACGAAGCTGTTGGGTAAAAATAATCTCCATCTGCATTGTTTGGTTTGTGATTTTGGCTTCAGGCTTGGCCAGGAGCATATGCCCTTCCAGTTCCACTTTGTCTTCCCAGATCATACTGTATAATTATATATATATTTATGTATATAGGGTGGTTGAGAGCGTGGGAGAAGGGGTGGTGGACATGAAAGAAGGCGATCATGTGGTTCCCATATTTAACGGAGAGTGCGGTGACTGTGCTTACTGCAAATCCCAAAAAACTAATCTCTGCGACAAGTTTCGTGTGAATCCATTCAAGAGCGTGATGTTAAACGATGGAAAGTGTAGGTTTTCAACCAAAGAAGGGGAACCCATCTTCCATTTCCTCAATACTTCCACTTTCAGTGAGTACACCGTGCTTGACTCCGCCTGTGTCGTCAAGATTGATTCAAAAGCTCCACTCAAGAATATGACCTTGCTCAGTTGTGGCGTTTCCACTGGTAACAACAACTGCATTCAATTCAATTCAATTACTTGCTTGCTTTCTGCAATTTCTACTCGTGTGTTTCTCGTTAATTAATTCAGTAATGTTAGACTGATCAAATTTTGAGAATAAATTTAGAGCTCAAATGACATGACACTTGATTTGAACTTCTTTGATTGGTGTCATATCATTTAGGTCTCAATAAAAAATTTAAATAATTAATTATCATGTCATTTGAGTTCTAAATTTAATTCTAAAATTTAATCTGTGTAACATTACTCTTAATTATTTGGACTTTGGACTAGTAAAATTAATTAATTCCTATTATGAAAAACTTGTCAAGGTCTTGGAGCTGCGTGGAATACTGCCAACGTCCAAGCTGGGTCTACCGTGGCTGTTTTCGGTTTAGGTGCCGTGGGGCTTGCGGTAAGCTCTATACTAGGCTAGGACATTATTCTATTTTTAGAATAATGTTAGATTGACAAAAAATAAAATAAAAAAATTATTTGATGTGACATTATCATAATAGAGAAAAAAAACGTTTTTGTTCCATTTTTTATTTATTCTAGCATTTCTCTTATTTTTAGGTTGTAGATTTGTTCCACTACTTCTTTTTCATTTCTCGAAATGATAAGAGTATCAATCATACATGCTTTAACAAGAGGTGTATTTATAAATAATAAATTTTATTTAGATACAAGAAAAATTGAAATCAATGTTAAAAAAAATTTAATTCCATGATTTTATGCGACATTTAGAGACATTAGCAATGTTCGACTTGTATTGCATGTAAATAAATTTAAATAATATTTTTTTATAAAAAAATATTAATAATATGTGTAATTAAATTAAATAATATATTAAGTGTGAAATAAATAGTCTGTATTTTTTATTACTAAATTTAATTATTAATTTATTCTATAAGTCTTTAAGTATTTAATTGATTATTTATTTAGGTATCGCTTCGACTCATTTATGGATTTATACATCTAATTATATTGTAGAATTATTAATTTTTATTTTGTTAAATAAATTGATTAGATTGTTTATAATATTATTATTTTATTACATACCAAAAAACATATATTTGACCGTAAAATTTAATTTATTAATTTGTTATGCATAATAATTTAACATATACATATAGAAAATCATATATAATTGTACTACTAATAAATGAGTTCAAAAGAATTTAGAAGTTCTTACAAAAAAGTATAAAATAAGTTAAAAATTAAATAGGAGTAAAAAATAAAAATTAGATGGAAATATAGTGGTGGTTATAATTAATTTTATTATAATAATTATAAGTGAAAATTAGAAGTGAGTCTCTCTACATGTACTTGTTTGGAGATAAGTCTTGCAAGAAAACTTATAAGAGGCTAAGTCTATATTTAAAATTATGTGTAATGACTTAAGTCCATTTTTTTTTATCTCAAAAATATCTTTCCTTGAAAGGAAATTAATAATCCATACATAGGTTAGGTATATATATAATAACATTAAAAAAAAGTAATATTCAAATACAAAAAGAAGTTATTATGAATTTGAATAGTAAAATTCAAATTCATGTTACTAATTTTTTTTTAATATGTTACTGTTTTTGTTGAGTATGTTACTGTTCGTGTACTATTATTTTTGAGTATGTTACTGTTTTTATTGACTATATTATTACTATTATTTTCTTAAATATTAATATTCAATCTTACTATTTTTTTTTTAATATTAGTATTTTTTGTATTTGAGTGATATTATTTTTTGCGTTTGAACTCGGGAGAAATAATTATTATTAAGTATGTTACAGTTCTTGTTAAGTATGTTAATATTTTTGTTGAACATGTTATTATTGTTATTTTTAAAAAATATTAATATTAAATGTTTTAATTTTTTATATTTAAATGTTACTATTTTTTGTGTTTTAATATATTATTTTTTGTGTCAAAATGATAATTTTTTTTGTGTCCAAATGATAATTTTTTTTTGTATTTGAATATTACTATTTTTTATTTTTAATGTTATATATATATATATAAGAAAGAGAAAAAAATTTAATATTAGTTAAACTCTTAACTTATATATGGATATAGATAGATATAAGGAAGAAAAGATTTTAATGTTAATCAAACTCTTAAAATTTAGAAGTTTATAATTTTTAATTTTATAACACTTCTAAGGGGGATAATATTATAAAATTGACAAAAAAATAAATTTTATAATAAATAAAAAATTTTATAGACTTAAGTCAAAATAAATTCATATGGGGAGACCAACGTCTAAATTTTCCTAATTATAAATTTATGTTAGGTCATTTGAGCACTAATGGGCGGATAATCACAACCAAACTAATACTTGCATTTTGAGTAGACCGACATTGGTGTAAGTAACCATTTGATTAAATGCATGGATTGGATTTATTTGGGTCAACTGGTCCACCGACAGCGGACCCACCAGCCCTGACAAATCTTACATCCATGCATCAACCCACTTGTGAGAGTCAGCAGACAGATGCATGGGACAAGTGTGTGACGCCAGCCACAGTGATAGCAATTGCTTGAATTGTTGCATTATTGGACCCAAATTAATTTTTTGGTACTGTCTGCCACATGCATGCGTGATTGGAACATGCATGATTAATTACCACGAGCCAATAGTAAAAACTTACTAAAATTAGTGACGTTTTCCATGGATTGGCATAAAGAGAAATTGAAAAACTCTATCTCTCATGCTTGTGATTGTGATTGTGATTGAGATTAGAGATAAGAGTGCTGAATTGATATATATTTATATAATGTATGAATACATATTTTCTCGTAACTAACCTATCAAGTGATAACAATTGTTTAGGTTGTGGAAGGAGCACGAGCCAGGGGAGCGTCCAAAATAATAGGAGTTGATCTTAATGACAACAAACAAGTGAAAGGTACGTAATACGTATATTACTCTAGGGACATTTGCTAAAATTGCATATCCTGAATGTGATAGAATTAGAAGCGTAAACGCAACGTTGTTGACAAACAATATGTTATTGATAACTGAATAACGTGAACAAAGCTGTCCAGTTATTGAGTTAACATCAACTGACCCCATAGTCTCCTAGCTAACCATTGTTTTATGCGTGCAAGTAGAAATCCCGTTATAAATCAACAAACAATTGGCTTGTGCTTGTAATTTATACTAACTCTTTCTATTTATTTGTGAACATATACAGGTCAGGCAATGGGAATTACTCATTTCTTAAACCCGAAGGATTTTGGTATTCCAGTGCACGAGGTCTGTCTAAGTACAATTACCTACCAGTCAACATGCATTCTTTCTTTGTTTCTCTGGTCGTTGTCTCACGGAAATCAAGACCATGAATTACGGGTCCGACCCCCAATCCCATGATCCCCTACATATATTAAACTATAAACTTAATAGACTAGTACTATTTAAATTAATAAATTAAATTCAAATAATATTTACCCTATTATTTAATGGTTAAGGTTTGGAATGCAGAAAATTAAGGAAATGACGCAAGGAGGCGTCGACTACAGTTTTGAGTGTGCAGGGAACTTAGACGTTCTTCGCGATGCTTTTTTGTCCACTCATGATGTACGTGTCTCTTGCTTATTTTATTGTATTGTTTTCTCTCTCATTATTGTTAGATTTTTTTTTTTTAATCATCTATCTATCGTACCAAGCTGCAAGCCCACGTTACCTTAGCTAATTACCCTCCCCGAAGATAGTGAATTAGTTTGAAATGCTGCTCTTAGTTGGACTTATATTACAACTAACTATGTTATATAATTCAGGGAGTGGTTAACTGATAAAGGTCGGATTATTCCTATCTTAATTTTAATTTTCTCTCGTTAAATTCTCAAATTAAATACAAATAATATTTTCCTTGTATCTTTGTGCATCTCCGGATTAGGCTGTTGCCATATATTAATGGCACCGTAGTTGACTGCCAGCCAGTGGGGAAGAAAGGGATCTAATCAAAATTAATGGAAGCATTATCTCAATTTGGTCGCATCTCATGACTATTTGTCAGCATTATGGAAGTAGTGGCCATTGGCCTGGCTGGCTCTATCTCGTAGGAGGGGTTACAATGCATTTAATGCAGAGGCTGGCACGACCCACACATGACATACTTAGCCCGTTCTAAATTTTTGGCAGGAAGATGCATGCACGATGGCCAGGGAGTCTAAGATGATCACATCAGTTTGGCAGTGACATAAATTTCTCTTTAACAGTACCTATACAATTGCAGTTAGGACAAAAAATAAATAAATGAAACGAGTGAAATCATAGTAAATTTTGTGTAACAGGGCTGGGGTTTGACAGTAGTTTTGGGAGTCCATCCGACCCCGAGGATGCTCCCTCTTCATCCAATGGAGCTATTCGACGGGCGTAGGATAGTTGCATCAGTGTTTGGAGACTTTAAAGGGAAGACCCAACTGCCTCATTTTGTCAGAGAATGCATGCAAGGGGTGAGTTTCAGTTTCAGCTTCTCCTCTGCCCAATTTTCACTATTTCTTTCAATGCCTATATATATATATATATATATATATATATAATGATGGTGAACTAAATGTAGGGTGTGAAATTGGAGGAGTTTATATCCCACGAGCTCCCATTTAGCAAGATAAACGAAGCTTTTCAACTGCTTATTGATGGGAAATCCTTGAGGTGCCTTCTTCACCTTTGAAGTTAAATAAACATGAAGCACCATATATATGGTTCTTACACTGGCAGCTAGCCGCGATTAAGGTGTTTCCCTACCCGACAAATGGATAGAGAGCATGATGATCTCTCATGTAACAAAATCACGTCACATGTACGTGCAAGTGACGCTGTAAGTCAATTTAGTTTGCCTTGAATGTCATTCTACTGTATTTTATCATATCATCACTGTTGTGTATTCTAGCAGCTAGCTAGCTAGCTGGACGCTTATTTAGCGATGTGGTCAGTGCGGCTTTATTAATTAGCATGGGGTTTGGTCTGTCTATATATATATTCTTGACTTAATGATGTTTAGCATTTCCTTCAGCTATAATTAGCTCACACCCTTTAAATCTAACGGTACCAAGTACAATATAAAATAATTAATTGGACCTAATCTGATAATCTAATGATGTAGTTTCAATGCAATTATTAAATTAGTCATAAGTTCTAATATTAAATTGAATTCATTACCGATCCAATGATTGTATTGAATTAAGTCCATCTATTAAGTCTAAATAACATTTTTCAAAGATTTGATGTGAGTGTGTTAAGTGCACACTTTTTAAGGATTGAAAAAATAAAAAAAAAATAGAATAGGGGAGAAAGAAGACCCGCTTCGAAGGGAGGAAACCTCAGTTCGTTCATTTCGAAGGAAACATGACTTCCTAAACCTTTCACAAGAAAGTTAATCACAAATATTAATTATACTATCTATTAATTCAATTAATGTCTTTAAATACAATTAGATAACATATAAAAGATAACTACAAAATTCATTCACTACTTTACCGACTTAAGAAACTTATTAATACTATACTACTAACACATTGATCAATTCAAACTCCTATTACTAATTTATAAAAATATAAAAAATATGAAAGGTAATAGAAAGACAAAGAGGTAGAGAACAACATGGAGAGAAAAGGGCATAGCTATGGGTAAAAGGGGGAGATATAGGGGCAAGTAAACCCTCACACTTCTCAACAATGCCACGTTTATAAATATGACTAACGTTATTAAGACTTAAAAAATTAATTTAATTTGTTGAATTAATAATATGTCAAGTGATGTAATCTCAATAAAAATGTCCAAAAATTACATTAAATAATAACACTATTAGATCATATAACTGTTATATCATTAAATTAATTTTTTAGGTCAGAATAACATTACTCTGTAAACATAGAAGTTGGATGCTATTAGCATATATTCATACTAGCAATAATCATGTGTCTTAAGACACTTTGTAATACCAAAAATCTAACATTGATCGTACTAACATTTAAATTTATTTTTTTCCTCTTAAAATTAAATGAACAAAATAAAATAAAAAAGAAGTAATTAGAGAGGTATATGTTTGAATTGAGGGTTGTCTAGTATTGAGGGTCATGTAATGGGAATGATGTTTTTAAGTGAAAAAAATTTTGAGGATGAATTTTGTACCATTAGATCAAAATAAATAAAAATTAAATCAATCTTGATCGTTGTTATGTTTTTATAAGTTGAGAATTGAACTTTTTAACTGAAATATTATATAGATAGCTTATTATAAGTTTAAATAGGTTAAGTCGGATTTTAGGTCCGTTTTCAATAATTGATTCAGATTGAAATTCAGTTCGTTAACGGGCCTAGCTATGGGCATAGGTTAGAGGTGGTAGTGGAGATGGAGGAGAAACGAAAGAAATGATTAATTTCCAAAAAAAAAAAGAATGGTTGGACAATAAATAAGTAGAGACATCACATTGGAAAGTTCTTTCGTTGACTTCAATTCGGCATCTCAATTCTTTGGGATCGAGGCTGAGCTCTATCTTTACCTTCTTGGGGTTTAGGTCGATATTCAAATTTATCAAAAATGTCTACGTCAGCGAATTTTGCAAGTTGAGAAACAAATGGGAGCATTTAACTATTCAATTCCTCCTTTTTCTCTACTTCCCACTCTATTACCTTTTTAGGTAGTAGCATGAAGATTTCGTTTGTTCACACAAAACCGAACTTTAAGCTCCTGGCGCCTTACTTGACTAATGGCTTTAGCTTTTCCCAATTCTATGAGGGTGGATCGGGAAAGCCTCAATCGAAACCGAAACATCGATTCATTGGTCATTGTCTTCTAGTAAAAGACAGATTTGAACCCGCCAACATAATCTTAAGAGAAGGATTATCTTTTGGTTTTAATATCCTATGTTATTTTTTCTCATATGAGCTAAGTTGTATTCTTGTAGCGAACTACGGAATGAGAAGCGTAGGGGGATCAAATAGAATAGATAACTCTTCATACTATTCCATTACGTGCTTCTTCTTTCAAGAGTTAAGCTAGTAGACTAAAATCACTTATAGCGTCTCGTATGGGACATATCTAGTCTTTCCTCGCGACGCTCATGGGTCAGTCATATGGCAATTAGGGCAGACATAAGAGGTATATTAATCCAAGAGTGCAGTCCACAGAATAATGGTCTGAGTTTGGTTTTGCCCAGTATTTAGTGCCCAACCGCGAATAAAGGGATCCCATGTTGATATAATTAAAAGTTGTTGGAATTGTCTCTTAAGCAATTATTTGTTTGTCATTAATTGTGATGATGGCACCGGTGTCAACAAAGAACGTTTAGGATGAGCGTTTTTGTCAACCGATGACATCAATCTTCTAAATTTGTCAAAAAAATGTCAATCGATAGAATTTCTGAATGAAAGATTCAATTTTTTTGTTCAACTTACCAAGAGAAGGGGAAGACTTCAAATCATGCATAAGTAATCACTATTGTCGTACTTTCTAACAAATATTATATTTTAAATGCTAGTGAATTCACGAGATCCACCATAAACATTGAAATTATACTTGATCGCGACATAATATGGCAATTACATCAAATAATAATCCTTGCACTATGATTTAGATGCTTATGAAATCCACATGAAATGGACTTTGAGATTGGAATTTTGAACTACAAATCAATCAAATCGTTCATGGTCTCGTTTTGTTAGCACTTGTTGGCCATTGACTTGGTTGACATGCCTTTGTTTAAGTCGAGTAGAGTTCGAGTCTTAATAAAAATCAAGTGAGAAAAGCTTGTCACATTGTTTGAAGCTCACTAAGAATATGAGTTGATCCTGAATATATTTCAAAAATAGATGAATCAAGTTTGAATAACTCAATATTCGGTTTGGCTCGATTCATTAGCAGGACTTGAAATTATACTAGCTGTTAGAATATAAAGATCACACAAAATAATATTTTAATGGAATATATCACCCTCTATGAGTAAAAACATTGTGAAAACCATTCTCCTGCAATGGTTGTGTTTGGATGGTGGGAAAAGATGGTATTAGATTGCATTTCTCGTTTCCAAACCCAACGGATTAGAATGGTTTATGAAATTCATGGTCTCCTTTTTCTGAACCCCATGTTTGATAAACATACATAAGTAGAAGTAAGGTCCACAATCTTTCTATCAAATACACCAATCTTCCATCCAGCCTATCCATCTTTGAAGGAGCCCATTGTATAAATAGATGAATGAATTGAAGGATAGGATTGTTTTTTGGGTGATTTAGAAGTCGGTACAATTTTTTAGACTTATTTAGGTAAAAGTACAACACAAAAATTTATTTGGAGTAAAGTACATATTTTTAAAAAATAACACTATTGCCATTCAGTTAAGTGCAGATGGGTTGAAACTATTTGAATTCCTACCAAAAATTTTGGCTACAATCAAGTAATGGGAGTTAAAAAATAGGAGCTAAAAAATAGGACTTTAATTATCTAATCCCTTCTTCTTCGGCAAAAGGGATTCTATGGCCATGGGAATGTCATAGCCTTTTTTTTTTTGGCTAAAATCAAATGAGAGGTAAAATAGGGAGTTTAATTATCAAAACTTATCTTCTTCGGTGGAGGGATTCAAAATATAACCATATGGAAATGCCATATCTGTGTTTTTTTTTTTTTCAGTCATTGATTATTCAGTTTTTTTTTGATAGATCTGTGTAAGTTGATTCAAAAATAAAACCAAATCGTAAAACGCTAATTTTGTGAAAATATATTAAGAATTTGTAGATCTATTATAACATATGTATATTAAAAATATAATAATTTGGAACATGATTTTTTTGATTAAAAATAGTTACGTAACTGTTTTAAGTAACTATTTGAGATTTAAATATAAATTGTTTATATTCCAAATTTAATGGTTTACATGTGTTGCGTAACTTTTCTTTTGATTTTAAGGATTCAATTCTTATAAGTCTATTATTGACAATTTTATGGGTCATGATTTTTTTAATTAAAAATAGTTACGTAACTGTTTAAAGTAACTATTTGGGATTCAAAATATATACAGTTCATATTCAAAATTTAATGGGTTTAACTGTGTTGCGTAACTATTCTTCCGATTTTAAGGATTCATTTCTTATAAGTCTGTTATTGGGAACTTTATGGTTCATGATTTTTTTGATTAAAAATAGTTACGTAAACTGTTTTAAGTAACTATTTTGAATTCAAATATAGACAGTTCATATTCAAAACTGCAGTTTGTGGTAATTCTTGTACTATTTACTATGTTATAACTTTATGGTGTAACTGTTTTTGGTAATTATTTACAGTATAAGTTAATTGGGATTTTCATGATTTCATGCAGCAAGTTGAAGTGCAACGAGACATCTCATCCGATGAAAACATCCATCCATTCCTAATTAACTTTGTGAAGTGCAACGGGACATCACTTCATTCCTGATGAAGACATTAATAAAAAAATGAATGAAATTGTATCAATTCAAAAGGAAAAGAAAAAAATAATTACACAAAACAACATAAAAAAACATTAATACAAATGACTGAATTAATTAATCACACATTGGAAGAAAAACATAAACACAAAATAATTACAATATACATTATCAACCAAAAATAGACATTGGTTGAAAACTTTCATTCAAGAACAGTTATACTAAAATACAACTCTAATTTTTTCAACACAGTTACACAACAGTTACTATTTATATGAAAAACAATTACATCCATTAAAAATAGCTACACCCATTAAAAACCAAAATTGTCTTTTTTTTCAGCACAGTTACACAACAGTTACTGTCTATACAAAAAATAGTTACACCAATTAAAAACTAAAACAGTCTTTTTTTTTTTTCAACATATTTACACAACAGTTACTGTATATACGAAAAATAGTTACATCCATTAAAAATCATAGCAGTTTTTTTTCCCCTTCATCCCAACAACGAACAACTTGACCAAAAAAAAACAATATAAAACAAAAAATAATAAACCCAAAAACAAATTTTTTATCCCCTTCATTCCAACAACGACCAAACATACACAAAATCGAACATATAATTTCCCAAAAAAAATGATCTAATTGCAGAAGAAATATAATTATTTTGTCTATACTAAAAATAGTCACACGCATAAGAAACAGTTACACCCATTTAAGATCAAAACAATTTTTCCCCCTATTTCAAGAAGAAACGAACATAAAACAAAAATCGAACATAGAAAATTCCCAAAAAGAAATGACCAAAAAAAGAAGAAATATAATTATGAATAACTCACCTTCAATCCGATGACGATGATTGGTATTTGTAATTCCTTTTTTAAAGAAAACCACCATCGAAGAAATAAATCGTCGTTGAAGAAGACTTAATAGTTGAACACGTTGAAGAAAACTTATCAGTTGAACACATACGTTTGATTCAAAAAAATAAAAACAACAAATATGTAAAGATTACATATTTGTTTCTTAAAATAACTGTCAATAGATGCATAAATCTCTCAAAAAATTGTTCATTCAAAATTTAAAAATTAAAAAATATAACAAATATGTAATCTTTACATATTTATTTTCTAAAATAACTGTCAATCATGCTGCATAAAATAAGGAAGGGTGTTTAAGTAAAAAAGATTTTAATTCATTTGAATTTTGTACCTAAACATAAAAATTTTATAAAAATTATACTTGAATAAACCACTTCCCCATACACTTGTACTTAAATAAGTATTGAAAATTGTATCTACACCTAAAAAAACCCCTTGTTTTTTTACCCATCAATCCAGCCTGCCCATTTTTGAAAACCACCCCCCATTAGGTTTTTTTTTTTTTTTTTTTTGAACGGGCACAATCAACCCGCTTGATAATTTCATAATAAAATACACGAATAAAAAATTAAACCATTGAGAACAAAACGAATGATAAACAAGTCAGGTCTCTATACATGGGCTTATGCTTATTGTTGAAGTCGGACCTGGAGAAACTTAGAGACCATTGCCGGCCCGGAGACATGCCAACCAAACAAGATAAGCTATTGGGTTGGGCTATTTTTTCTTAATCCAATCAAACAGGCCACATGGGTTTTAATGGGTTTCTAAACAAATGGGCCTTGAACTGTGGACCAATCAAATGCGATATTTTGAAGCCAAGCCACGCTAGCTAAGAAGCAGACTTGGCGGACGTCAAGCAAATTCATAACCAATTTCGAGAGAGAGAGACATCTTACCTTCGGATGAGATTGCCAGGTAACAGCCTTCATTACTGATTCACCAAGCCAAACTAAACCGCTTCCCAATCGATAGTTTTCTAAGAGATCTCACGGAGAGGGAGATCACAACAAGCCCATCAACCGTTGCTCCGTCATCGTATCAATTACGTTCACGCTGAAGAGTTCGGTTCCAGGGTACACGTTCTTTAACTCGTTTCTCATTCTTTCTCAATTCCTGAGTATGAGACCTTATTGATTTGAATATCAATGGAAACTGCTGAACTTTGAAGTTTGAACATATTCATTTACCTTTTATCATGAGAATTAAGTGTCGGTTTAGGAATTTTATTTTGTGGAAATATAGGTTTAGGAGTTAGGTTTTCCGGAAAGAGGTGAAAATTTGGAAGCTATGAAGAGCCGGTCGCATCGGCTTCCGATAACGGACCCGCATGATGACTGGGTAGATGGTTCATGGACGGTGGATTGTGTGTGTGGTGTGAATTTTGACGATGGGGAAGAGATGGTTAATTGTGATGAGTGTGGCGTGTGGGTGCACACGCGGTGCTCTCGCTACGTCAAGAGTGAGAAATTATTTGCTTGTGATAAATGTAAGAGTAAGAACAGTAGGAACGATAGTGAAGAAACTGAGGTTGCACAATTGTTGGTTGAATTACCTACTAAAACATTGAGGATGGACAATCCTTACCCTTCGAATTGTCCTCCTCGGAGGCCGTTTAGGCTTTGGACTGATCTTCCGATGGAGGAGAGAGTGCATGTTCAAGGTATTCCAGGTGGTAACCCTAGTTTGTTCGGTGGGTTGTCGTCGGTTTTCAGCCCCGAGTTATGGAAGTGTACTGGGTATGTGCCCAAGAAGTTCAATTTTCAATATAGTGAGTTCCCTTGTTGGGATGAGAAGCTGGATGTTGATAGGAAATCCGCAGAAGAAAATGGAAATCCTGTTGATAAAGGGGCTGGTGTCTTATTCTCGTTGTCGAAAGAGAATGCCTTGCATACTCCTGTGGCTACTTTGTCTTGCATGGAAAAACAAGTTGATGAAGATGGCTCCAACTGGTTGGCACATTCGCATGATATGCAGAGGCGTGACTGTGAAGATGTTGATGTTAGGCAGCCACAGAATGATGTGAAGAAGGATAGAAGTTTGCTTCATCCTATTGTAGTTCATTATGGTAAACGTAAGAAAGAAGACCTGGGGACGGCCAAAGATCGAAGTGGAAAGAAGAAAGCCAGGACTGGTGATAGAGAGGCAGATTCAAAGAAGAAAGCTGCACATGCCCCAAATCTGGTGATTTCATGAACTTTGTAATGCTTAAGATGCTTTGCTTCCTTTTTTCTAATATAAAATGGTTATTCAATTTATGTTTGGACTGCTAGTTGCTTCTTTTATGTTATTGATGTAAATGTTGTTGATGGATTAGTTCTTATTGTACATTACATACACGTGTTGATCCCCTATGTTTTTATTTTTATTTTTTATTTACATGACTAGTATCCACAGAACCAACTGATGCAAAACGATTGGAATTTTGTGAAGTCAGAGCTTTTAAGGGTCAAAAGATTGATGCTCAAGGTTGCAAAAATGGAAATTCATGTGATAATCACCTTGTGGACAAAGATGTTGGCAATTGTAAGAACAACCTAGCTTTTGCTGAGGAACCTTCAGAAGCCTTATCATCTGATGTGGGGAGATATAATTCTTCTAATGAAGCAAGACCAAAAGAAGACAGGGTGGAGCATCAAGTTCCTGTTAGGATTGAGGGTTTTCCTAAAACTGACGATTTTGTGGCGTCATCATTAGATCACAATGGGAGTGCTGCCATTAAAGAAGAGGTAGGGCTTGATGTGTCTTTAAAGCTAATTTACCCTATTTTTTTTTCTTTTTCAAATTGTGTATAATAGATAGGCACGATGACAATTTGTCCAGGTTTCTGGCTTGTTTTCTCACCCTACTGAATACCACGTTAGGATTGATGATAAAAAAACATGGATTAATGAGGTATTAAAATCATAGCTTCTTATTAGCTCCTAAATTACTTTTTAATGTACCCCCTCCACTATTTATTAGATTCTTTTTGTATTGAAAACTTCCCCACCTCTCCACTAGGCAAATTACATTCTAACTACTTACAAATTCCGGGATGTATAAGACTTATCACACTTAGACGTGTGTGTGTGTGTGTATGCATGTGGAGGCCTGTTAAAATCCGACACGACACGATTAAGCGACACGAATTAAACAGGTTTTGGTAAGACCTTAACAGGTTCGGCTGATAAACGGGTTAACCCGCCAGACACATTTAATTAATGGGTCGTGTTCGGGTGAGACTTGTCAACCCGTTTATTCATTTAAAAAAATTAATATAATAATAAATTAATAATTATTTTAAAAAAATTTAGTCAATTTTAAAATAAAATATTAATTATATATAATTATACGGTAAATATGTCAAGAAAAATTTTACTTCTGAAAAATTAAGTACAGATTATTCACTTACCCCCTATGCAATGCTCGATGTGGGAACCTGGTTGAGGGTAAAAATTGAATTCAATAAAACAGACCCAATACCCTTCAATCTCTTTCTTGAAAGAACAGACCCAACCCCCTATTCCACAATAAACATTTGAGTTCTCAACAAATCTAAAGTCTAAATTCCAAAGAATCAAATCTAAAGACCCAATTCCAAAGAACATCTGAATTCTCTACAAATCTAAAGACCCAATTCCACAATGAAGAAAGCCACTGAAGCTGAAGCTTCATTCTTTGATTTCTGGGCTGATCGAGTTTGTTGGTAAGAGACGGTGAGTCGAAGGTGAAGACATGGATGTAGCAAAAGCTATCGTCATTTTTCACCTATTTCTGGTCGCAACACAACTACAGAGTATGGTCGAGGGTGGGTTTCTATGTCGTGTGCGAGATAGGAACCAGGAAGAAAAGACTTCAAGGAGAACAAACTTGCACAATGAACACAGTGAAAACTGTGGCTTAAATCCCACATCGACTAATTCAAATGAAGGAGACCTCACATGCCTATAAAAAGATGCAACTCCTTCCTTTAGTCATTAAACTTCTCATTTGCCTTTGCAAGTGGCAGCCAGCTGAAAATCTTTTAATTAAAAGAGTACAGTTGATGTGGGTAATTAATGGAATTTAAAATTTTAATAGGATAGTTTTTTCTGTGGGTTAAAATTTTAATAGAATTAAATGGGTTAAATGAGTCGTGTCGTGTTATCTATTTATTAAATGGTTCGTGTTTAGATTTTTTACCCGTTTATTAAATGTGTCGTGTACGGGTTTACATATTTGTCACCCGTCACCTGTTTAACCCGACACGTAACCGTTTAACCCAACACGTTTGACACCCCTATGCATGTGTACACACACGACGCACATATATATTTATATATGGTTGCATGTTTGTGTTATATATACTGTATGTGCATTGTATATTTGTAATACCCATAGACAGATAATTCCTGCGTCACCTCTTCTAGTGCTACTTAATTTTTGCTGATGTTTTCTCGTAATATTGTTATTAGGTTGTTGGTAATGCACTTGATAATATGAATGATAAGGGGGAAGTTTCTAGAAGTAGTGGCCTTGACTTGCAGAAAACAGAGCATCTTGTTGAAGATCAGGCAACGACTGCACCCAAAGGCAAGGAAAATCATTATTTGCAAGAAATAAATGTTGAGATGTCTCCAAGTTCCTTACAGCCTGAAGTCAAAGTGAAAGCAGAAGTCGAACTTGATAATACTACAGGGGTCTCTATTGTGACACTGTCACCTCCTAATGATGTAAAATTGGATGGCGTGAATCCCTTGGCCCAACATGTAGGGATTTCTGCTGATCAATTGTCTGAAAATTCTAAAATGGATGATGATGCCACAGCTAGTTTGCAATTCAGTGTCCATAAAGTGCAAGATACTGACAGGTTTATGGCAAAAGTTGGTGATTCACAAGCAGATGGAGCTGATGCATCAGTCAATGATCCCTATCAAGCTATATGTCATTTGTCAGGCGCAGAAAGTTCCATGGCGGTGTGGAAAAGTTCTTCTGAATTGAAATATGGTTTAAGACCTGCTGAAGAGACATTGAAATCAGGGAGCACAGTCTTATGTCCTCCAGCAAAATCCAGTCCGATTAAAATGGTAGTATCCATGGGAAAATCCTCTCCAACTTTGTCGGCCAATTTGATTTCTAAATCCTCGGTTTCTGATAGACGTAGGCCTGTAAGTGTTCAAAATCATAATTCTAGTGCTAAACAGCAGGGAACGTATGATGGCAGTGTCAGTAGTAAGAAAGACAATGCCTTGAATGATTTGGTTAGAGATGGAGATAGTTGTGAAAGGGCAAAAAAAAATGTGACAGAGTATTCAAAAACTTCTGTCAGTTCTATACCGAAAACAGCACACTCAATCAAGTTCTCACATGCTTCTGTATCTAAGAAAACCTTGTCTGATTCAAAGCATCCTTTGGTTTCTTCATCTTCTAAAACATCATCAGCCCAGAACATTGCAGCTGCTCCGGACTATCGAGAGTTGGGCTGTTCATCGCAAACTGATAGTGCTTCGCATGTACAAAATAAGAGTACAGCCTCAAATTTACCCCACAGAGGTGAAAAAACTAACCAGTTAAATTGCCAGCCATCATCCAAGATGAACCATGCAGCACCAATGCACCCGCCTGCTCCTTCAAACTCCCCTGCTACACTGAGCGATGAAGAGGTGGGACTGAACTAGCATTTGAATAATGAATGACTTTTTCACATCCCATCACCAGTTTTTAACTTTGTGGAGTTTAATGCAGCTTGCTCTACTTTTGCATCAAGAACTTAACAGTTCTCCAAGAGTTCCTCGAGTGCCACGCATGCGTCAAGCTGGTAGCTTACCTCAATTAACTTCTCCAACTGCTACGAGCATGCTAATGAAGCGGACATCTAGTTCTGGAGCAAAAGATCACGGTTTGGTAAGCTGCCTTGGGTTCTTATGTTTTGTAGCCCTTGGAAATGTAGGCTGTGTGCTATATCTTGACTCGTTTACTAGTCTAATGTTTAATGCTCTTCTTAGGTTCCTAGAAGAAAAAGCAAGGATTTAGCAAAAGACGGGCCACGAAGTTATCGCGATCCTGATGATGAAGCTAAGAAATTGGATAGAGTAGCTTCTTCGCTTGATCAGAGAAAACATGATTCAGCATGCTCAGCAGGTGCTGTTACCAAGAGGGAGACGGACTATGGGCCACCAAAAGAAGTGCACTCTGTCATGAAGAGTATCCCTCCTGCCTCTACTGCAAGCAGTGGTCCATCTTCCTCCACTGAGGTTAATGAACAGAATTTGTCATCCACTCGCAACTCACCCCAAAATGCCTCTGACGATGATGTTGATACAGTGGGTCGTCATGCCCATCGCACTTTACCTGGTTGTTGCCTTTCTGAGTTGTTCAATCTTTTAGATATTATGTTTCAAAGCTTCCCTGAAATGGTTCCAACTTTGAAGTATTACTTTGGGAGATGTGTATTCTTACAGGCTTGCTTATTTATTTGTTTAATCATAGGCTTGCTTGCTGAGATCATGGGTAAGGGCAAGCGCATGACATATGAAGAACTCTGTAATGCAGTTCTGCCAGTATGGTTTCTTCTCTCCCGCAGTGTGTCTTCCTCCCTTGATTACTTTCTTTCTCTTGCTTGGAGAGAGAGATACTACTACTCATTTGTGTTCATTTATTGCTTTCCCTCTGCAGCACTGGCCTCACTTGAGGAAGCATAATGGAGAGCGGTATGCATATTCAAGTCACTCACAGGCTGTTCTTGATTGTCTGAGGAATCGAAATGAATGGGCTCGGTTGGTTGATCGTGGTCCCAAGGTATACCATTGAAACCTTTGATAATAGCTTTATTATGCATCAGCATCAGAGTTTGGTTGTGGCGCACCCCAATGCCATGTGTTGAAATGTGCACTGGTTACCTTTTAACCATATTAAACATTTTAACAATGCTTACCTTTTAACCATATTAAACATTTAACCACCCAGTTACATTTCAATCACAATAAGCATTTTAATCACTTACTTACATTTTAGCCATGGTAAAAAGAAAAAAGCCTGCTTTGTATGGGGGAACCCTACTTATGTCTATATGATACAGTTTTCTCTAGCTTGATTGTGACAAGCACCAGCAGAATGGCTGTTTTGTGGAAGCTATATATGAGGCCAAAGGTATTGTGGCAAAGTTGGTAAAATGCGGCAAGACATCTAATGGGTGGGGACCGTGGGGTGGGTTTTGGGGTTAGAGTCTTAATGCTATCCATCAATTAAAAAATGAGTAAACTACACATATGACTCTTAAACTATGAACCTTGTGTCAAGTGAGCCTTTCTGACCGCAAATCTAATGGAAAGTGGCGAAGTGTGTACACAAATGAGTCGCGGCCCGGTTACGTGATCGGCACACTCAACGAGAGAAGGGCGACTTAATTGACACAAGGGTCATAGTTAGAGCACCATAGGTGTAGTTTACTCTTAAAAAATTGAAGCTGATGCATGTGTACTAAGCGACGTGAGCGAATTGTGGACAGCTTACTTAGCAAGTCATAAATATTGGGAAACAATTCTACTGCCAATGATTATGTATGTACTTCCTGCTCAAACTATATTATCCAGGAAACGTAGTCTACCAAGAAAAAAGAATGATATGCTCGTGTAGGTTTGTTAGTGCGAGTCCAGGACCATACTACGGTATACTTTTATCTGTTCCTGCGACGAATGTAGGTACCTCTGGTCCAGATTGGCTGGAATTGGTAGAGATGGATTTCATTCAGAACCAGTTTGAAGCTGTTAATTAATCATGCTAACATAGATGTTGAAATCAGTTTTTGATTCTACTGTCAAGGATTTTGTATATACTGCCTGCTTAAACTATATTATCCAGGAAACATAAGAGTACCAAGAAAAAAAAAATGGTGCTGGTGAAGGTTTGTTAGTGCGAGTCCAGGACCATACTACAGTACACTTTTATCTGTTCCTGCGACGAATGTAGGTACCTCTGGTCCAGATTGGCTGGAACTGGTAGAGATGGCTTTCATTCAGAACCAATTTGAATTTTTTAATTAATCATGCTAACATAGATGTTGAAATCAGTTTTTAAGTCATGAAACCTAGGAAATCAATATTTGACGGAAACTGAACAAGAGAACAGAAAATTTTTCTGTTTTACATGCTGCCAGATCTTTACTCCAAATTACATAGGTTATAGAAACCAGTTTTTTTTTTGTTGTTTTTGGGTTACCAAAGAATGACCTTTTTATTCTTTCTGAAAGAGAAAGAATGGCCTGTTATTTATAGGTCAGAGGAATAACAATCCCCCCCCCCCCCCGGTTCTCTCTCTCTCTCTCTTCCTCTGTTTTGTTGTTGGTGCTGGTTTAACAAATGGTAGGAATGCATTTTAAATTTTTCCCTGGACGTTAAATTGCTTTATGACACATGATCATATGAAAACCTAATGAGTTTGTCCCAGACCAATGCAAGTAAGAAGAGACGCAAGGTTGATGCTGATCAATCAAGTTTTGAATCGGAGGAAAACCAGCATAGCAAGGACAGAGCAGGAAATGATGGGGAAGGTAAGGGTTTTGGGTCACATCGAGAAGAGTTTCCCAAGGGCAAGCGGAAAGCCCGAAAGCGCAGGCGACTTGCTTTACCAGGAAGAGGTGTCAAGGATGTTAGGAGAAGACGCAAGGAAGATTTTCTCAGTGACGATGATGTTGGCTCATTTTCCAATTCTAGTGAGGAGAGCATGTTCAGCGAGGATGAGGTGCAGGGTGGTGGAACATGTCCAGTTGGGAGTGAGGCTTCTGCCAGTTCAGATGAAAAGGATTCCATGCTGTAGTTCTTATGGTTACTCTTTGGTTTTGTCATATGTGGCTGGGAAAGGACTTTTCCATCTGATGATCGATGAAAATACTCCTATTGTGGTGCTTGTCAATGTGATATGTAACGGTGAAACATCTCAGGTTTCCTTCGTGCATGCTTGTGCACGGCACTTAGTGGTGTGGCCAACGTTGTTGTATGGTTCAAAGACTCACCACCATTGACCTGTGATTGGGTTCTTGTCAGTGATGTACATCCATTTTTAACAAAAACCTTTTGACAGCTTTGCTAGTGGTAGGCAGTGGTGGTCTAGTGTTTTACGACTATTGCTTGATGAATGGCAATGCCAATTTTGATGTGGAATGTGTAATAAAGCTAGTGTACATATTTATTGCATTTTCCCTGAAACCTGCTGTTAGAGTGCCAGTAGTTTTTTGAATAGAAGTCATTAAGTAGTCTAAATTTAGAATCAGCGTCGAACCCCGACTTGTTCACCATGTAAGGGCTGTTAATTACCTCAGTTTATTTGCTTCTATTTCTGTGTTTTTTTTTTTTTTCTCTGCCAGCGTGATCTTCGTTCATTGTGGTTTACTTTTCTCTCTCTGAAAAGTAAGCTGCTCAACTATTTGTTTCAATTACAGATGTGTTTGACCAAATCAAGAAGTTGGGCTGTAAGGGCATTTTGGTTTGTGTATAATATGGAAAGGAATTGAATAGCTTATTCCATTTTAAGCCACCAGCAATCCACTGTATGTGTTGCACGTGAATAATTTTTATATACAAAGCATTAATAAAAAATATTAGGTTTATATGTACATATATTAAATATTATTTTAAATTTATTAAAATTATATTTTTATTGCTCGTATTATATTATAGAATTTAAAAAATATTATCTGTTTCTATTGATATGTTATTGTAATTATAAGAAAAAAGATAAAAATAATTTATTTAAAATTCATATGATTAAGTTTCATCTAATAATTTATTAAATAAAATAAAATAAAAATAATTGTCAAAATTCTAATTAATGTTTACTATAATTAGAAATTAGTCAGGTCAACAGGGATAAAATATAGGGTTGATAATATTTTTAGACTCTAAAATATATTTTTTTTATCAGTTTAGTCTTTAATATATAAATTTTATCAATTTGGTTCTTAAAATATTCATTTTTTGTTTAAATGGCCCCTAACCAGATGATTTATTAAGTTTTTTGATTGAAGTGTGTCATTCGTTTAGATAGTATCACGTAATCAGCACGTGATCATTTCTGTCCAAAACTTAATAGATTGTCCGTATACGGATCATTTAAACATTAACTAAATATTTTAGAAACAAAATTGATGCAATGAGAACCAAATTGATAAAATATACATATTTTACTGACTAAAAGTGCTATTAACTCTAAAATATAATGTACGACTCTATAATATAAATTTTAAAAGAATATTAAAATTTTAAAATTCAAGTTTTACTTAAAAATTTAATACAATTTTTTTTTATATAAACTCTTAATAAAATATGAAAAGTTTACTGTGATTAAAGAATTATGTTGATTTAATATAAATTATTTTAAAAAACTACATAAAAGATTATTTTTTATCTTAAAAATGAAATTGTTGAAATTTTGGATAAAAAAAAATACACATATGTAAGCATAATATTATTTTTATATTTGAAATGAGTTATATTAGATTAATGAAGTTTTTGAAGATTTTTTGAATGTTTGTAGTCAATTAAAAAGTTTCATAAATATTGATATTTATACATAGTAAATAGAAAATTAAAAGAGATGCTGAGGGTAATTTGGAGATTTAAACATATAAGTTAATGATGATAATTTAGATAATTAACTACAAAAAAATAGTCTCTTATAAGAATAAAATATTGAATAAAAAGTTTTTCATGTTAAGGCAAAAATTTCATTCTTTATTAGTAGTATAAATGGAAAAAAATACATATATATAGACATAATATTATTTTTATATTTGAAAAGATTAATGATCTATTAATAGAGTTTTTGAACACTTTATTGAAAACTATAATAATTCATATATTTTTTTTAAGGGTAATGTAATTAATTAAAAATTTTCATAAATTGACATTTATGCAAAAATAATAGTAGATTAAAAGAAATGTTAGAGGGTAATTTGAAGATTTAAATACATAAGGATATGATTATAATTTAGATATTTAACTATGAAGAGATAGTGTGGTATTTAAACTTCTTTGTAAAGGTAAAATAGTAAATCAAAAATTTTTCACTTAATATTAGTATTATAAATATAGATATAGGATAGATATAGATAGATAGTGGTTGTAGTTATGGATTAATCATTTTTCTATTGTATCATGTTTATTGTAAGGTTAGTATGAAGTGTGAATTTATTATTATTCTAATATCAATATTATGAATGGATGAGATATTAATGTATGATATTAAGTTCAAAAGTAAAAGTTTATTATTTTAGATATTAATAACAAAAATCATATTTTACTTAATATCACGTGATATAGGGTATTAGTTTATACCAAACACAGGGTATTAGATGATGATGTACAAATTGGTATTGTGCAAGATCAACAGTCAAATTTATGAATGAGTGTAATTAATGAGCAGTAAATAGAACAATCTATGGCAGAACAATAAATATGAAATCAATACAGAGATTTATAGTGGTTCAGTCCGGGTGACTTACTCCACTCTTTGGGACGGCAGCGATGGTCGCAAATTTTTATTGATGAATAAAAGGCACGAGGAGAGTTTATTCTAAGAGAGTTACAATGCTTTTAGGAGAGGGAGAGGGAGAGGTAGAAAGAGAGAGCAATTTGTGTAAAGATCTAAAGGTGTAGAAGTCTCAAGGTGGTGTCAAAATTTTAAGGTGATGCCCTTTATGTAAAGAGGACTTACATTATATAGGCTTAGTAAGGCAGTGAGACGGTGACGTGGGGGAGAAGACTTTTACTATTTTGGTAAGTACAATTATGGTAGGATTAGATCTCCGAGCATATCATGATATTCTTTCCTCGTGCTCCTATTCCTTCAGAAGGAGGATTCTGAGCTGGATCTCCTGAGTTGAGTTGAACTTCTGAGTTGGGTTGGACTTGAATTGGAGTGGTAAAGTCAAGAGGGCGAAGGACTTTATGAGGTTGCGTGGAGTATGGGACAAAGGGGGGAAAAGATCCCCTTGGGGTAACCCCACTTGGGCGGCGCCCCTTGGGGTATTCCCTTGAGGGTGTCCCCCTTGGACTCCTCCTTGATTTTGACTTTTTTCTTGACTTGTGCTCCTCTTTGACTTGTTGACTTGGGCTCTGAGATGACGTGGACCCCTCTTGATAAATTAAGTCTGACCTAATTATTTTTGAGCTCATCATTAGACATGACCCCTTTGATTCGGGCTGATACTAAAATATTTTTAATACCTTATCTTATAATTAGATAAAAACATAAAATTAAATGATGATTGGAGTAATTTAGTCTGATTGATATCATTTTTTAATACCTCTACCTTAGAGATGATGCCCATTAATTACTTGCTTTTAAAATAATGATAAAGAATTATTTGAGATTCACTTATAGGTGCGATGAAGCTTTAGTGGCAGGTGGAGAGGCAGCAGGGTGAAGCAGAGGTCTGGGATTGTTGATCCTTTTCGCCTCATGCAGGAAAGGAATAGATCGTTTGAAGAGGTTGATTGCTTACCTTACCCGTTTCCTTTTCCTTTTTTCCAATGAAAACCCTTATTCTTGTGGCTGTGGATGAAGAGTCCATGGAATATCCGAATCTCACTTATTAGTACAAGTGTCTATTCTTCAGTCATGTATGTTTCCCCCATTCAAACCCTGTCCAACTTGCACCTTGAAAATGTATAAAATTGATTAATCGAGTATAAACTATTAGGTCAATTATTGTAATTAGCAGGAATTTGTACGCAATTAGTCGTGATTGCAAAAAGTGTGTTAAAGAAAAAAGAGATACGAAATTAAACATTCTAGTCCTGAGGGACAGCTCTCATTATCAATCTTTGCTAATTGGAAAACTTACTATACAATCAAATTAATACAATAATTCACATTTATTTTTCTAATTAGAATTTTAGTTAGATTTCTCATTGATTTTTAAGTTGTATAATAACTTGATAACTTATTAACAATATATCCATTTTAATCTTATTAAGAAAAAAAAATTAATTCTTTGACCAAATTTTTACTCCTTACACGGAACAAATTCTAAATCATCCTTCCACAAGAGAAAAATTCAACGGTGAGGATTAATCCTATCCTATATGTTTAATGAGGACATTATAATTTGCGAAATAATAATTTAAAAATGAGCAATGCTACATGGACTTAAAAAATAGACTTGATAATTAGAATCATTGATTTCACTGTGGATCCCAATATTTATTGAAATTCATTACCTCTTCAATAATCGAGGTTATTAAGTTTACTCTTTAAAAATTATATAAATATATTAATAATAGTAAATATTAATAGCATTACTACTTAGCACTGATTCTCAAAAAGACGGCCCGTAAAAAAAGACGGTAAAACATTTCGTTGGTTGACTGGTATCATCATCTCCTGTGCCCATGGCGTGGCATCAAAACCAAACCAAATCAAGTCGTCCTGCAATCTAGGGTTCCTCATCCCAAAATCTTACATTGTCCAATCCACACACACACACACACACACACACACTCTCTCTCTCTTCGTCTTCCCAAATTATTTTACATACATTCTCTTCAACACTCTTTCGTTTTGCCTCTTCGCATTCGCTTCTCCTGATTTACGGTAAGTCTAATTTTTAGCAAAAATGCAGACAGAATAATAATCACTGTGACCAAAAGCTACTTTCTATTTCATTCAATTTTCAATTTGATTTATGCTTTGGAACTTGTGTTTCAATCTCTGGATGATTTGACCAGCGATTTCCAGACATACCTCGTTTCAGATCTTTGCCTGATGCTATATATTTGTATCCACCATGACGATACCTGATCCGGTCTATTTAATGGAGAATGGATCAATTGAATTACCATGCACGCCGGAGGAAGAGAAGCGGATCGTAACTGAGTTAACCAAAAAAGCGGAGTCTAATTTGAAACAAGGCAACTTGTACTATGTCCTTTCCAACAGGTAATCTTCGCTATACAGCAGTTGATTATGCAGGTTCCTTTTGTTTACTTGTTCACGCATTTTAATTCAATATATACATGTATATGTATGTATCTTTATTTATATATGCACTATATGTAATGCCAGGACCGTTGATATACTTTTGGGAACTTAAGCCACTCTTACAGGTTCCATTATCATCTATAGGCGAAAAAACTATCTTCATTTGAAGCATCCGAGCTTAGGTTCTAGCTCCGTTCTATTATGCCATAAGTGGATCATCCAGTTCAATATGTAATCTCATGATTTGTTGGTCTATAACCAGGTTTGAGTTGATAGTGACATACATATGGTGTATTTGCATTATTTGTAATCTAATAGATTTTTATCCATCCCAAATGCTCACATAAAATCCAATGTATATAAAATTATGAACCATGGATACGGATATGGCAAAACCTAAAAAGAATAGAATACCGGTACGGCTAGGATACATCTATAATAATTTTTTTTAGTTTTTATTATTCAATTTTCACTTATAATTATAAAGTCACAAGTCAGACACTTCTATTGGAAATATATAACAAAAAACTTGGTCACAATAAAGTAATAGCTCTATCATGGAAAAGGCAAAAATTACCAATAATAGCAAATCAACAGAATAATAAAAGTAACAAGAAGAACATCACAAACAACCGTATCAAATAAAATCGAACAAAACAACAAATCAGTGGCAATAACAACAAAATCAACCATAGTGCAATTCATTGGCTTAGACCACTGGAGAAATTCACTACACATTTGTTTAGTTAATCAAGTCAAATAGAGTACTTGAGAATCTAAAACCCAATTCCAATGATGCGTGCCGAGACAGACAAATGAAAAATAAAATCTGATGGTGTATGAGTAGTGCTCCAGTCATGAGTCAAAGGACCAATGTGTGTGTTTATAAGCACTAATCGCAGTGCACCTTGTCCACCATGTTGTTGGTACAGAAACGTTAATCACAAAAGGAACGGACACATGGTGATATGGGTATATATAAACCCTAGCTTGGTGGGCATAGGAGAGAGCGGGACTCAGAGAGGGAGAGAAGAGAGGAGAATTGTGTGCCCTAACAGTAGATAAACACGGGCAGAGGAGGACAGAAGCGAAAAAGTTAAGAGGGGTAGACGTTTTGATTCTTTAATTTGGATGGACCGTTTATATTACTTTTTCATAATATTTGCAAATAAGTCCCTCGACAGTTTTTGATTTAAAAACACACTTTCTTTATTTACCCTGGTGCCCTTGACTTAAAAATCATAAATTATAAATAAGACCCATTGTATCCGTCAACATATCCCAACCGTATCCTTGTGTATCCAGGAGTATCCCAGAAGTATTTGAATACAAAAATTAATTATTTTAATTGTAGGATACGTATCAAAAACATTTGATATGTATCCTGTCGTATCGGATGCGTATCCATATCCGATACAGATGCGTATCCATATTCGATATGTATTTGATAAGGACAATTCTCTATTTTCCAAATACCCATGCTTCATAGTATGTAAGTATCCAGAAAAGGATGATCTTGTTATAGATTAGGTGAGTAATTCTCTTATGGTGACATTAATTTAATGATTCGGTATGATTTGGAAGTTTCGTTTAATTTCAGCATCTGCAGCAAAATTAGTTGCAAGATGTGCCATGTGCCTACTGAAAAGGTAGCACACATTGTCAAACATTTGAAAATTTCGCTGCATCGGTTCATCACTTACCACTTATGCTTGCAACCTGTCTGCCTGTCTCCCAGGCATTATAGATCATAATGGATCCATAGCCTTCATAATACATGTGATGTTCATATTGTGTATGATGTTGGTGCCTCGAGTTTGAGCTAAAGTTGAGATACACCTTTCCATGGGCAAAGTTTGGGATATATAGTGCAATTGCATATGGAAAACTGATAATTGGATTTCATATTGGTGCCAACAATGTTGTACATGGTTGACAGAGACAAAACCAATGTTGGTCTCCAGCATGAAAACTTGGCATGGCATGACTTCCTCCCAGATGAATTACGTCACAAGCTCAATTCTTGTATGTATGAACTAGTTCATTTTTCTTATTTCTTGTGACGAGTGGTATATGTGTTAGAAGAGCGGAGAAGACCTTCTAGTGTCTCTCTCTCTCTCTCTCTCTCAATCTATCTACATACATATATAAATATATATATATATATAATTCGTATTCTTGTCCTTTTGTTGAATTGACAACATCCACTAAAAAATATTCGAGGGCTGCGACCCCTTTTGACACAATGTGGACTGGGTTTTGATGTTCTGACTAAAATTGAGAGGAAAAAATATAAGTGGAGATCTCACTAGCCAAAAATGAGAAATCAGAGAAGAAAACAGGAGACTAACCAGATGTGAACATTTGAGAAATAATAAAGATTGAGGAGTGTAAATGTAGGATAGAGCTAAATATACATTATTTTTTGGTTTCAAACTATGACTTTTCCTCTTTCTATCAGTAGTTATTTTGGCGAAATGTAGAGTTCATGCCTAGCACTGAAAATGTTTTTTACTTTTATGCTCCTTCAGTTATCATGTGGTTCCTTGTGTGTTATTTTTTCCATGTGATCTGTAATCATCTAAGACCATCTTTCAATTATCAAGAGGTCATATTGGTTCAGTGTGCTGATTGTATGACTGGTCTCTTCAATGCATTTTGCGTTGAAGATTGTTGTTTTTTTTTTTTAACAGTTTTAGGTTGTGAAAGTTTTTTATATTGCTGCAATTTTGTAACTCTTCTGATGTTTTTGCAGGTGGTTCACAGGCTGGCAGAAATATATCGGACATGGCATTGATGCCTATCCATTTGCTGAGCATTGTATTGATTCACTACCTTTGGTACCGTCAGAGACGGCAGATAGACCAGGACCGATTGATAACTTGGATATAGTGTCAAATGGAAGCGAACATGAGGGTGATGATCTACAGCTTCATATAACACTAGAGGAAGGACGTGATTATGTTTTACTTCCTCAAGAAGTTTGGGAGAAGCTTTTTGAATGGTACTTGTATTTTGTTCTGACTCCATTCTCGTTGAGATACTTTTGCTATACAATGTTTTTCTTATCTACTTATGAACATGATATTGTTCGTTTGTAAGGAATGCTTACAGTTTTAAAGAATGCACACAAGCTTAGAAAGCATATGTAGATTACTTAGAGAGGTGACAAGATGCTTATTGACTTAAAAAGCAATCATCACAATAGCATATTCTCCTTCTTCAGGGTAATGCTTGGAGGTTTAGCTGGCTCAAGCATAAGTGGAATGTAGTCTTGAGGTTATATTTAGGTTATTGGGACTTGGCCTTGAGGTAATAGCTGTTGGTGCACTTGGTGAATGAATTGAGTGCTCACGTGCAAGATGAGGTGCTTTGGTTTTTGTTGTTTGCGATGTGAACATTATTGTCTGCACTCTGCAATATGTGAGTAAGATAAAAAAACAAAAGAGCAGGTCATATGGCCTCCTTATAAGTCCTTGTCATTATTGTGAGTTGAAACTCTCTCTCTCCCTCTCCCTCTCCTCTTTATTCTTTTCATCGTGAAAATTGATGTGGCACTGGGTTATTAATATTATCATGATAAATATCAATTCTGTTGGCGAATTACGTATCATAAAATAACTACACACTCTGCTTTTAGAAGCAGATATGACTTTGTTAACACACTGGCAAATACTACATCATAATTTCCAATCATATTACTGGTATACACCTTTATTTTTATTCGTTTCTAAATTTCTTGTTTTGTGCAAATTCATTTGGGCAATATGGCTCTCAAGTTTTAGCGTGACTTTGTTATGCCCTTGTTTTTGTATGTTTATCATCCCTTTGTATTTCTTATATGCATAGGTACAAAGGAGGACCGACATTACCTAGGAAGATGATTTCATTGGGTGTTAACAACAGTTTTAGTGTAGAGGTTTTCCCTCTATGTCTTAAGATAATTGATTCCAAGGACAAAAGCCAGTCAGTTATAAGGTTAAGTAAAAAGGTATTATCTACTCTATGTCCTCTGTTAATTCCCTTGTAGATTCTACTATTATGTGTATTATATATCCAATCAAGGATAAACTAATAGTGGGGCTAATTTCTAATCTTACAGCCAGTAATACACATCCCTTTGCTTTTGTATTCAAGGCATTGGTTTCTCTGGAATTGAAATCAGCAGAACATGTACGCCAACACAATGTTTTATGTCTCCTTGTTTTCTAATTAATCATGAAATATAGATTCGATGAGCGCTTCTTTATACAAATTGTCTTTGCAGATATAATGTAATGTTGACCTTCTGTGAGTTTACTCATCAAGGACCCTGTTGTTAACAATATACATCTTATTTTAGTAACATTTGGACATGGTGTGCTAAGAGTAGAAGTTAGCTGGAACAGTGACATAATATTGCCTTTTTTTTCATGTGTGTGCGGTTGCCGTGCATGCATTCACTGGAATGTATTGGTTCACCTATTCACAAAAAGAGGGAAACATGAAAATGAACCAACTTCAGTTGATGAAGTTGATTTGTTTCTCTGTTCGGATTGGTAAAATCAGCGAGGCCTCTAGATATTTCCTTGTCAACTTGATGTACATATTTCATCTCCTTTTTATTTGGCTGGACTCTACTTACAAGTCTTAACAAATGTAAAAAGGATGTGAACACATTGAACTTAAAGTTTCTTGGATGGAATAATGAGTACTAGCTGGTATTATTTTGTAGTTGCTTTCTTTATTTGACTTTGGTAAAGATCCATTCCTTGTAATAATATTGGGAAGGGGGTTAATTATTAAAAGACAATTCTTTCATTTTTTCTTATTCTCTCTTTTCCTTTGCCTGATTTCCTTGTAAATGGAATTTTTTTTTTCTTTCTTATTATGTATCATGCATTTTCTTACCAAGTCAATCCATTTTAGGCTTCTTTACATGAGCTTTATGAGAAGGTGTGTGCACTTAAAGGAATACAGCCAGAGGAGGTGTGTTACCTAATTCTTGTCTGTGCAAAATGTTCTTCAGATTTTTTCCATTAAAGATATTATCCTGAAGGAATTTTTTCTTTCTCTTTTTCCCTTTAAAATTCCAACAGGCACGAATCTGGGATTATTTCAATAAACAGAAACATGCAGTGTTAGTTGATTCAAACCAAACCTTGGAGGAATCTAGTTTGCAGATGGACCAAGATGTGAGTATTTCAGATAACATATACATTGTGGACATGGTTCAAATGTGGAAAAGAAGTTTTATACTGTACTTATTGGTACGATCAATTTATCTTTACTAAAATAACGTGCTGTTAAGTGCCTTGATATGGTACATCGGGGGTTGGTGCAAGATATAGAAATAAACCGGTGGCCTAATAATCCAGCGAGAATCAAGAAGTAAAAGGGAGAACAAGGGGTGAAATCTTCTATGGTTCAAAGCCACCCAAGGGAGCTGATATTTTTGGTTGATAAGTGCGGTTGCTCCTACGGTCAAGGATTTTAACTGTACTAGTTGGGGATCTGTGTGCCTAGCTCCCTTCTCTAATACCTGGGATGAATAACAGGCGGAATTAGGTTGCACTGCATTGGCATATACTATCCCGAATGGGAATACATTTTTTGAATTTGATACAAAAACACAAATTTTTGAAATTCACTGATCATTGACTAATCTTTGGAAATTCATAGATGGATTGTTCAAACCAAAAATAGGAGGTATAAATAAATCATAAATAGTGTGTGACGACCAGGCCGGGGTTTTCGCCACAGACCTACCTTTTCACGTCTACATCAAATGTTACCACCAGTAACCTGTTACAGTAAATTTTATTGTTCTAAGGGCTCCTACCAGTCTGTCACAACTCTTTGCCAGCCTCGATAATGAGTATGGAATTTGAAAAAGAACATAGCATTAGGTTCTTGACTTCTTGAATAATTCAACTTTTCTTTCATGTTGGCTCAAGAATAACAAAAGCATATAACCCAAAACCAATGAAAAAGGTCTTTGTATTTTAATTTTTCTTCTTAATGTCATACACATCTTAACAGTGCATCTTAACTAGTTTTGCTTAGTAAATGTACTCAACTTTTGATGCCATGCTATGGCTGCAGATTCTTCTGGAGATGCAAGTCACTGGATTTGGCTTGGAATCAACAGGAAATGAGTTGGCCCTGGTTCCAGTAGAACCCTTAAGATCCTCTGTTTCAATTTCTGGGGGCCCGGTTTTGTCCAATGGTTATTCAACAGCTTATAGTTCCAGTTTGTACCAGGGAAGTACTATAAGTTCAGCATTCACAGATTTGGAGGATGGATATGACGTTTTGAAGCCTGTAGCTAAAGGAGATAGGGGAGGTTTGGGAGGTTTGCAGAATCTAGGAAATACTTGTTTCATGAATAGTGCTATTCAGTGTTTAGTTCATACCCAGCCACTGGTTGAATACTTCTTGCAGGATTACACTAATGAGATCAACTGGCAAAATGCTTTAGGAATGCATGTATGTGGCTGTTTTAATCCTTATTCATAACAAAAGAGCTCTAGTCATGAAGCTCTTTGCATTAAGTTTTTAATATATGTTGTAGTTGTGCAGGGTGAGCTTGCACTGGCATTTGGTGAGTTGTTGAGGAAACTTTGGTCGTCTGGGCAAACGGCTGTTGCACCTCGTGCATTTAAGGGAAAACTTGCGCGATTTGCCCCCCAATTTAGTGGGTATAATCAGCATGATTCACAGGTCAATATCACAAAATTTCGTATTTGGCTTCCTTTCTATTCAAAACCACCCATGTTTTTTTTCTAGTAGGGTGTCACTGCTGCAAATCTTGTACTTCGATAATTTATTGAAAAGAAAGTAATAAACAACTGAAGGATTTATAGAGAGCCTAATTGCCACACAATCCATCCATTGTATGAATGTTGTCCTTTATTTTGAAATCTCTCTCTTCGGAAAACATTTTGCTATGTTTATCTGACTTTTCTATGTCCCAAAATCGTTATGGTAGTGATTACCGTGCACAATTGCTTGTTGTATGTTGTATATTTATTTCTGATTCTGTTTTAGCGGTGGGTTTTACGTGAAGTTCCATTTTTGCCAGTTTTTTAAAGGGATGGAGCTATATTTGTTTGGATTGTTGCCTTGTAGGACTATTTTGGAATGTATGAGGTAAATTCAAATTTTGATGATGACTGTGGGGTGAAAGCAACGAAGTTGTGTGTCTGGGTAATGAAATAAAGGGAAGGTGGGAGTGAGAGAGGGAGTTTAAACAGGTGTCTATATTTAGCCATGACAGTGTGCTTATGCGCTTGCCACAAGACTAACCGTGAATTTTTTTTTTGTGGTCGTTGGGTCTTTACTGTTAGGCATCTGGTTTTGTGGTGAGCTCATTAGGAGTCACTTGAGCTTTGATAATGGAGCCCTACGTTAGTGTGGATCTTGTCAAGGATATGTTGTTTGTATTAGGCTTGACTTGTGCATGACAGTGTAACAGCTGTACATTGTTTAAGAGATTGAGCACCTTGTGGAATATGAGCAGCATTGTTACAGCTTCATATATCATAGACATGCAGCCAAATGAATTGGTGATGCTTCTATGACCTCATAAATGTGAACATGTTCGTTGGTTGAACTAGGCTTTCACAACCTCTTAATGTCACTGAGGATCTGAAATGTCAAAACAATTATGACCCTTTGTTTCTATGCTCTCACAATATTGGTCTTTGGATATTTTGTCGCATTTCTTAGTTATGAGCTTTGCTTGTAGAAATTTGTTTCAGTTATGCTATGACTTCGCAATTCATAACTTAAGCAGTGTAAAATATATTTTACCACTCTGCATTTTGATGTGATTGGTAAACTTGGTTCTCTATCAATGTTAAAGGAGTTTTCGCAGGGTTTTGTCTATATTCATAAAAATGTATTTCTGATATAAGATCTAACATTTGTACATATGTGGGAGTGGGACTTGCAAAATTCTATCTTGGTGATTAACTGTTATTATTTGTTGTTTAGTTGTTGACTACTTCTCTATGCCAGGCTGCCAATCTTGAACTCACTTGTTCAATTTTTTGCCATATCAAAAATATATTCTTCAAACAAAATAATTTCATTTTTTCTCTAGGAACTTCTTGCCTTCTTGCTGGATGGATTGCATGAAGATTTGAATCATGTTAAGCAAAAGCCTTACATTGAGACAAAAGATCATGATGGTCGCCCTGATGAGGAAATGGCAGATGAGTGTTGGAGAAATCACCAAGCCCGAAATGACTCTGTTATGTGGATGTTTGTCAGGTGAACAACTTGTTTATAGATACAGATACGTTGCAAATGAAAGTTCTTGAAAATTGCTGCAGACAATGCCAGCTTATCACTACCTTACTGACAGTCATTTTTCCTTTCTCCTATTGCTGTAAGAGTAGTATTATGGCTTGAGATACTGATATTTGCATGTATAGTGATCTCTGACCTTCCCCGTGTTGGGGTGGGTGATGTTTTTTTTGTTGTGGGAATTATCAGTTTCTTTTTGCTGGCTGCTCTGGTGGTGATTCAAGTCTGTTTATATCTTTTGCAATCTGTGGTTTCTATTGATCTGCTTCTTTTATCAATACTCTTGGAAATTGTATGGTATATATGTTTGAAATGTTTATGCCTATGATATTGCAACATGGTGCCAAAAGTCTTGGCATTGGGTTGGGGTTAAATTGTGGTTGCAATCAATCAAAAGATAAATGTTTGAATTCTTTATTTTTGTTTACTTTGAAGGGATGCTGGACAAAAAGTTGCAAATTTTTACCCCTCGAGTTTGTAGAATTTGGGTGTTTGGATATTCTGTTCTAGTGTTTGCTAGGTAAAATTAGTTGTTTAGTGAACATTAATACTTTTTTCCTGGGTTTTGTAATAGTAGTAATAGTTTTAATTTTATGGACAAATCTCAGGGTCAATATAAGTCAACACTGGTTTGCCCTGTTTGTAACAAAATCTCAATAACATTCGACCCCTTCATGTACTTGTCACTGCCACTTCCTTCGACAGTCACTCGAACCATGACAGTAACTTTGTTTTATGGTGATGGGAGTCACCTTCCAATGCCATATACTGTTACTGTCCTGAAAAACGGTTGCTCTAGGGATCTCAGCCAGGCATTGGGTATTGGATGCTGCTTAAGGAGCGATGAAAGCCTGCTACTTGCAGAGGTAAAATTATGTATGTTCTTTTGTTTCTCATTGCATACTCGAACTTTTTTGGCTTATGCATTCTTATGATCCAGTTTTCTAAAGCAGTGGATATTTGGTCTCCAGGTTTATGAACATAAAATATTTCGATACTTGGACACTCCTTTGGAGCCACTCAACTCGATAAAAGATGATGATCATATTGTTGCATACCGACTTCCCAAAAAAGGGACAGAATTAACTAGACTAGAGATTTGTCACCGATATCAGGAAAAGTGAGTATTTATTCATGAAATTTTGCATATTGATAAAAGATGATGATCATATTGTTGCATATCGACTTCCCATAAAAAGGGAGTGAATTAACTAGACTAGAGATTTGTCACCGATACCAGAAAAAGTGAGTATTGCTAGTAGGTTTCTACTTGGTAAAGTTGCGAAATTTTGAAATTTTATTTTGTTGGCCCCAGCAGCTATTTGTTTTTTTCAATGCCTTATGATGCGAGCTTGAGCTAATAGAACAATGTGCCCAGGAAGGGACACATATTTGGCAGTTGTTGGACAAATACACGAGAGTTTGTTTTTCCCTTTATTTTCTAAATGGAGATGGATGGAAATTCTATACCACTCAGATTTGGGTTGAGTTTTGACATCATTATCTGTATGAACGAAACATCAATTTTACAATATTGTCATCATTGGGCGGCATCTGTGAGAATGGTCGTATCCATTTATATGTTTACCTCTGCATTATGCATAGGCTGGTGGCTGTAGCTTGACCATTATAATTAGCTCTACTTTTGTCGGGGTTGGGGGGGGGGGGATTGGGCGTACGACTTAGATTTTTTGGAAACTAGGAAGCATGTGGTGATATTTGATAATTGTGAGGGCGATTTATGGTCATGCATGCATGCAGTTGCTCTATATTTCACTGTGATATCATAGTTATGAAAGAACAATCTGTCAATTTTGTTTTGCCACACAAGTTTCAACACTTAATTTTTTGTGCACGAGTTTGCGCTTGGCTTCTTTTCCGTGTGGGTAGGCGAATAGGACTAACTATATAGATGCCTTGCTTAAATGATTCCTTTTTTTTTCGTGTCTTCATGAGATGTTTCATAATCAAGGTGCACTTTATCTCCAGATATATGTCAGACAGTTCGAAGGTCAGTGAGAGGAAGCTTTTCTTAACACCCCTTGTTACTTATTTGGAAAACCCACAAACTGGGGCTGATATTGATCTCGCTGTTAGTAGAATGCTTTCTCCATTCAGAAGGAAAGCATTTCTCCCGTTGACTAAAAACAATAGTAGCATGGAAATTTGCTCTGCTTCAGAAGCTGATGAGGAATCAATGTACTGCTGCAGTACCCAGTTAGAACCTGGGAGCCAATCAAAGCATATTACAGAACAGGCAGAAATTTCCTGTAGGGAGTTGTCATTTCGGCTTTTTATTGCAGATGATAGGGTTTTAGGTAGCAGACCAATTGTAAAAGATTTACCCATAAAATCTAGTAGACTGGTGAAGGTTATGCTGGAGTGGACTGACAAGGAACATGAGTTTTATGATGCCAGCTACCTCAAGGATTTTCCTGAGGTTCAGAAGACGGAGCTGACTGAGAAGAAAACCCGGCAGGAAGCTATCTCTTTGTTTTCATGCTTGGATGCATTCTTAAAGGAGGAACCCTTAGGGCCTGAGGATATGTGGTAAAATATTTGACAGCTTGATACTGTAGAAATTTAGTATATGGTTCATGTTTTGCAGTAGTTGCCATTTCTTCTTACTTCTTAAATTTGGTTGCAGGTATTGTCCTCGTTGTAAGGAACACAGACAAGCTACCAAGAAGCTAGACTTGTGGAGGTTGCCAGAGATACTTGTCTTCCACTTGAAACGGTTCTCATACAGCCGATGGCTAAAGAACAAACTCGATACCTTTGTAAATTTTCCCATTCACAATCTTGATTTGAGCAAATATGTTAGAAGCAAGGATACTTGCACTGGATCTAATATTTATGAACTATATGCCATTAGCAACCATTACAGTAGCCTAGGTGGTGGGCACTACTCTGCTTATGCCAAGGTAAAAACACCACTCATATTCATTTCTATTTCTGTTGTCTGATCCGAGGTACTCCTTGAGGGACCTATTACTTCTTGCCCGTCAATACATTTGGACAGAAAACTAGCCTAAGAACCCATCTTTAGTTAATCTAAATATTGCCACTATGTTATAGGTTTTGATAGCACTTGTCTCAATTAAGAAATTCAATATTTTACTCCAATTTTGCAGTTAATTGACGACAATAGATGGTATCATTTTGATGATGCCCATGTTTCACCGGTTAGTGAAGCTGAGATTGAGACATCAGCTGCTTATGTGTTGTTCTACCGAAGAGTTAACTGTCAACCAAATGGAGCAGTGGGAGAGTTGTTCCAAGACCATGGGACTGCTTGAAGGCTGTGTATGGTCATTAACTTTTCCCTTGTGGATTTCATATTGTTCACAACTTTCCTTACTCTTTGAAAAAAAATTTGGTGACAGAACATGGAAGAGAATGGCTGGGTATTGTTCATTGTAGCGTGACATGGTGAGATTTCGTTTGAAGACAGAAAAGTGGATGGCATTGGGGTAAAATAGAACCCCCGGGTTTGTTTCATTAATTGGGGGATGAAGTCTCTACAAGAAATGCCTAGAGGGGGAGTAGCATGTATTTTACGGAAGTGCAACTATTTTTTGAGAGAAGATTTGAATGGTCTCGAGGTATCGAATGCTTTTTATGTGTAGTCCTTGACGAATTGGAATTTTCCTTCACAAATTTTATTCATTGGGGGAATTGTTTCGCTGTTCCCTTTGGTATGTGTGGTCTGTCTGTGAAATAAAGTATACTTCCATTCTGTTAGGTTTCTCCTGCCCTTACGTATGGTCACAACCATCCTTGAATGCAGCATGGAAGTAATTTGAGGTCGTACCCTTTTTGGAACATCTAGGGATCTACAGGCATGATGCTTAACTCTGCTATTTGGCCCGAAGGTATCTTTGTCTTCCCCCCCTCTTTTTACTTGGTCTTCTTACATTGGGACGTTAAGGGCAAGCTTCAATTCCCACTATTTCTCCTTTAATCCAAATATGAAAACCTGCCCAGATTGAACTTCTGTTACCATATTTATGGAACGCCAATCCCCCGGTTGGCTGGAGGTGGGGGTCCTTTGAACGGGAGGGTCGACCCTTTCCGTTGCATTATAAATTGGAGCTCATGTTTTCATCTCTGCTCCAACACATAACAACGAAAATGAATGCATGCAGACCCAAAGGAACTATTAATAGCGACTCTCATTCAGGGTTACCATGGGATGTTATAAAATCAAATGATAAACATCATCATTAGAGTACCAATGAGTAATAACTAAATCGACCTGCCTCTCTCTACTGGCACACGTTAACAGCCTACGATAAATATATATATTTATATATATTAAAAAAAAAAGGTTTCAGAAACTAAAGCTCCAGGCCAATCCCAAAAATAATAAAGTGAATAAAGCAAGACAACACATCAGTGCCAGCCTAAAAGAGGTGAAATTCAATGCATCTCTGTCATTTTACTATGAGTGGGACCCCCTCCTCTATATTAAATTTCCTGTAGATGAACTTTTCTCGATATAGTGATGGTATACAAAAAAGATGATGATTCCAAAGAACACAGATGCGTACACGTAAAAGCAAAATCTGAGCCTTTTCCCATCTCCGGAGCACCATGTTATTCGATCTCCCCCTATCCTATCATACATTGAAGGCCCTCTTAAGTTCTAAATGGAATCAACTTTCGAAGATCAGTTCGCAGTCGAAACTACCAAGCACAGAAAGAGCAACACGCTGTGTACTGCTACTTCTTCCTGAAATTAAGAAAACATCAGTCACATAAACAACTAGAATTATTAGCACGCAGAAATTAAAACCAAGATGCAGTCGTGATCATCTTAAGCCAGTAAGTTTAATGGTTAACAACCAGGACACCTTGCTGAGTACACCTATCTATAATCACCAGAGCAGCACTATCAAAGAAAGAAGCGTTACCGCACAAATAGGAAACAGAAAACAAAAACTATCCTCTCCACAACAATAGAGAAATTGAACTTCCCCAAAAATAGAAGCACTATGACATTTGAAACTCTCATGACTTACCTGTCAAACAGAAGCAAAAGTGCAAATAATTACAACCTATATTGTACTGGAATAAGAACAAACACCAAGATTAGACCAAGTTTTCACAAGAGAAGTCCAGTGTCACCTTCCAAAGACATGTTATATCTGTAATTTTATAAAAAGAAAATCATGTAATCCTTTATTCATCTCAATACATGTCTTCTTTACCTCCTATAATAGGAGAAAAAAATTGGACATGTTTCATCTTAATATGAGAATAAACTAAAATTTATACCCTAAAATTGGATTTGGAGGCGACGAGGTAAAGATGAAGCAAAGGGATTGTTGAAGGGAATGTAGGTAATTCACAAGCCGAATGGAGAGTGTAAGTGGGCCGTGATCAACCAGTGAACCTTTAGTCTAATGTTACTCCTTGTCTTGTAAAGGCTTTGCCTTGTTGAGGTCAAAGGTCAAAGGTTCAAGACCCTTCCCCCCTCTCCCTTCCCCACCAAAAAAAAAATTTTAAAAAAAAAAAAAAAAAGTGGGCAGAGAAAATGGGGAGGATTTCAGGAATTCTTAGATTGCCGGCCCAAACAAACACTGAGAAATTCAAAGAGATCAAAAACAAAAGGAGAAATAAAGAAATAAAACCTAAATGATGATTCAGAAAACTACAGAGGTATGGTTTATTTCAGATGATAAACACCATTCAGATTTGAATCAGAAACCAGTGAAAAACTTTAATTGGTTGGTTTTTAGAGAAGTTGGTGACTGATGAAAACTCACCTTGGGATTCAGAACATTGCAATATTTTCTATGACAAGATAAAGATATGAAAGAAGAAGAAGAAGAAGGAGGGCATTTTTATATTTTTTTAAAAATTATAAGGGTTTTGGTAGTTTTTGACAATGTCTTCCTACATACGAATTCTACAAACAAACGTGCGACTCAACTACCCTATCAGAGTTGGACAGCAATTGTACTTGTGCAATTTGGTCCATAAATCACATGGTAGATATGTGACTAAATTAGTAAATTTCAACGGCAAGGATATGAAATACAGAAGGGCTTAAACAAGCACCCCCTACCCCCGCAAAAAAAAAAAAAAAAATTTCCAACAACATTCATTGACTGTAAAAACGCCAAAATGACAAAACGTTTTCTCCCCCTATCTCTAATCATAAACTAACTCTAAAAGAGGGGAGAGGAGGATAAGTATTCTTGACAACTTTTAGACACATAATAATAAAAATAAAAAAGGCATGATCCGTTACAACCATTACTAAAGGAAACCACATGCTTAATCTAATTTTGATGCACTAAATTGTAGTTCTAAATATGCAAGAATATCTCTTTTTTTTTTAATCAAAGGATTTCTTAATCATCATTGTTTCACTCACATCCTAGTACAAATGGAAAACACCATCCACTAGAATTGAACCAACTAGAGACGACGGCGTTTTCTCCCAAAGAAGTAAAGAAAGCAATGTACTACGGAAACAAAACATACTGTCCGTCGCAGTTGTCAATCAAATCTAAACCCAACCTGGGATCGTTTTCCCAAGAAAATCCAACGATCTTTGATCCGTCCACCACACTTTCCCATTAAATGACAGGACATCTAAGACCATGCTGCTTTAGTGGACACCAGTACCCATGTATCTACGTGTCCTACTATTTCTAAACCCAACACTCAACCACTAGAATGCGCACCCTTAACCTATGCATCAAGGGGGTGCGCACATCACAATCGGCGCACATCTGACTCAGCACAGAATTAAAAGTGACAGGAATCTTACCGCAGAAGAAGATATAGACAGATAACCCGTGGAAGAGCTCGCCGGCGGGGACGGCATCGGCGGCCGTGTACCAAAGCCACTTGTATTCGAACTACCGGAGCTAGAATTAGTAGTACCGACGTCGTTTGAAAATCCAAGCGGATAGACCGGCGTTCCGTCAGGCTTGAACAGTCCGTAATTCCTCTCCGAGGCCGGTCCAGGCTTCATATTTTCATTGAACAGAGCAAACACAAAAATGTTCAAATCCGAGGTCGGCCTCATCGGCGTACCTTTATTCTGAGCAATCAACTTCATCAGATTCCCATTGTACTTCTTTGCGTTCTCCGGAGTTGCCCCCGCCTCGTCTTCGTCTCCTTTCGAAGGCCAACCTGTCTCCGAGATCTGCACACACAATTTCTTAAACCCTAACGAAGCAAGAGCAGAATAAACCGCATCGATCTGAGCAAACAACATGTTGTCATAGTGAAGGTTCGAAATAGGATCCACAATGCCCGTGTTGGACTGAAATAGAACGAAATCGATGGGGACTTGTTTGGGATTAGCCTTGTATGCGAAGAAGGGGTAGGCATTGATGAGAAAAGGAGAGTCGGTTTTGACATGGAAATTCAAAATCTGAGTTATACAAGCGGTGAGATCTGTGCGGAAAGCTCCGGCGGACGGGGGGTAGGAGATCTGGAGTACGGCCAAGGAGTGTGCCGTGGTGACACTGACTTGCTTGTGGAGGTTGAGATTGACAAGAGCTGTGTGTACACCTTGCATAGCGGGAAGGAGGTCATCGGAGAGTGAAGTGTCGTTGAAGGTTAACACTTCGTTTCCGACTGCAATACAAATAATTTTTGTGGCTGGTAAATAAACTTGGACGTTTGTTTTTACCCAGGCTAGAGCCTTGTTTGGGTCTCTCATTTTGGACAAGTATTCGTTTCCGAGTCCGACTATGAACTCGACTCCGGTGTTGGCGAATGCCTTGAGAACTCGTGGATCTGCGTCGTAGAGTTTTAATTTGGTCGCGCCGACAGATTTAACCAACGGGATAACGTTTTCCGGTGCAGGAAGATTGTTAGCGATCTGGCCATAGTTGATTCCGATTGAAGCCACCATGATTGGATATAGAAGAACAATCCCTAAAGCACATTTTCACCAACACAGTAGAGTATAGAGTTAGTAAGTAATTTTTGATAAATAAAGTTTTTAACAAAAATTGAAAACGAAAGACTCGGTATACAGGAAGTAACACTACCTGAGATGAGAAAGAGTATTGAAGAACAGTTGAGTGTGGTAGCGAATCCCATTGATAGATAGAGATGACCAACACTTGCTTTGGTGGAGACACGACGACGGAATGTTGTACTGATCAGTGGGTACAGAACAAGTTCATAAAATAAATAAATAAAAGGCTGTCAACAAATTAATGTGTGGCCGTTGTGGCCTAATTTTGAAGCTACTAGCCTACTACTCCTATTTACTAGTAGCAGAGTTTGCTAAATCAGCCACTGCGACAGCCTATACCTGAACTAAGTGGGAATCATTAGTTTCTCGATCTTCTGAATCTCTACATGTATGGGCGTGTCAGTGAGCACCAACGGCAACGGCAACGGCAACGGATCAGATGGTCGGCCGCCCGAGCTTTAAAAGCTATTGGCTATATAGTACTGTTTAGTATACACCTTACACTCTCAGAAGTAAGGTATACTTTTTCTTTTTTTTTTCTTTTTTCTTTTTTCGTTTTTTTTTCCCGAATCCATTGAAATGCTTTTGATTCTTTTGCAGGCTCGTGGGGTCCAATATGTCAAAGTTTAAACGACCATCTTGGTGAATACACTAGCATGGGAGCTGTTTTTTGGACAGACTTCACATGCTAACCATTCCCGAGCTGGAAGGCTTTTCCTTTGCTGTACCATGCTCTTTTTCTCCTGTGTGTGCTGGTACATTTTTCAATGTCCCCTCACCCCCTCCTTTTTATTCATTTTTTTTCCCTTAACCCACATTGCATCGGCAATCCTGTATGCAATGCCCACCGTTCAAATTGACGGTACGTTAGGCAGTTTAATAGTTTCCAAGCTGATACGTAGATAGATGTAAATATTATGGAATTCAAAAAGCGTCGAGGGAAGACACCAAAGAATAATAGCTCAGAAGAGCCGAGAACAACTGATTAAACTTAAAGAGGACATGATTGCTCATTAATGAAGATTTGAATGACTGTGACAGAATAATTAATGAATTTTTGTGTCCTCGAAACTCACACAAACAGTAATTATTACAAAATATTAATGGCTATAGCACCAACCTAATATCCTCGAGAGACCCTAAGATAAGTTGTCCCGAGAGATAAACACTCAGGAATAAGTGTCAAGCACCGATCACATATATGTAAATGATCAAGGATAGGGCCATAAGTGCTCGGGAGATAATACATAGCTCATAGCTACTTCACTTGACATGTTACTTTATTTAAATGGACCAGCGCTTCAAGCCAACAATATTATAGACCTCATGGGGTGGCAACATTTTCCTTGGCAAGAGGAGCGATCTCCTCCCCGTCAATTCCAGGTTCACTGCCATCAACGCCCAAGCTCAGCAGCATCAATTCCCATTTCTTGGCAGGCCCCTAAAGGACATACAAACACATTTTTCGAAGACATGTTTTAGACAAGTTCTATTTTCCATGGTTTTCTTATTGAAGTACTTAGAATTATGCAAACAACAGAATTGGGGGTTCAATTTTATGCCTACCTTCCAAGAAAAGTCTTGCTTCATGCAACTTATGATCATCTCTTTTAGGGCAAGGCTACCGTAGATTGCAAGGGCTCTCGCAACAGTCGTCACAATCTTAATTACATCGGCTGGATCAACAGTGTCACACTGATAGCAAGAGCACAATGTATTAGTTTTTGAACAAAGAATACCTGAATAAGTTAAAAACAAGTGGGAAACTCGTGTAACGTGTGCAGGGACAGTGAAAGGCTTACTTCAACATTGAAAGCATCCATATGGAACCCTGTATAACCTTCTTTGACAGTGTCAACCAGTCCACCTGTCAAGGGACAGATGCACACCTGTTCCAATAGTTTTCATGTGAAGAATGGAGGCCGAGTTTAGAGCAAATAATTAGAGTTTAATCAAGCAAAACTCATGGTATAAGAGCTGAAGCCAGTCTAGGAAAACAAGAAGGTATGAGAACTTACCGTTCCATAGCGCATAGCATGTAACTGAATGAGACCGCAAGGTTCAAATCTACTTGGGATCAACATGAAATCAGACGCAGCAATAATCTTGTGGGCCAAGGGAACATTGAACTTCGCTACTCCTCTAGCCTTGTCAGGGTACAATACCTCAAGTTGTTCAATCTGCTTCTCAAAGTGTTTTTTACCAGTTCCCTGAAATGAAAAGTACAAATCATTGTTACAATTCAGTTTTTCAATTTTGGTAGCAGAACCCAGAATAAGTTGAGGAATGACATTCTCAATTGATATTCACCAGGATCACTATCTGAACATTCATACTGATGAATTTCGGAATGGCAGCTACAAGAATATCTGAACCTTTCTGCTCTTCTAGTCTACCAATGAAGCCAATCAGAGGAATATTCCTGTCCACAGGCAACCCAACTTCTGCTTGAAGTGTTTCCTTCAAGATAGGCTTTGCATCCATAACCTGTAAGTCATTGTTCTGGTTAGCACAGATTTCAATCCCAGAAACTAGAGGAAACCACTTGAAAGAATAATTAGAAAAGAAAAAAAGGATTCATGAGTTTCTTACGGTTGTGATGTCATAGTTGACATCAATGTACTTATCCGTTGCTGGATTCCACTCCTGGATATCCATTCCATTCACAATGCCAGTTATGCCAGTCTTACGAAGGATATTATCCAATTCCACACCTTTCTCAACACCAGAAACAAGTTCCTGGGCATAATATGGGCTCACGGTCAATACCCTATCTGATTCTAATATTCCAGCTTTCATCCAGTTAATTTTCCTTCCCTTCACAGGCTTTTCATAACTGCAACATCGAAAAACTTACTTAACACGGCAGCAGAAACAGTCGGCACAACTCATAACAATTGGAAAATCACATCAGTGGCCACAAATATCTTTAGATGAAAATCCAAGAATTCAATCGCCCTACCAGTCAACAAAATCAAAAGAGCTCTTAAATTGATCAGGCAGATTCAGAAGTGCAAAGTCTGAAAAGGCAAATCTGCCCTGATAGGCAATGTTGTGGATGCAGAAAGTGACCTGTAATCATTCATAAGGGACAACCTTAGCTACCAAAAATGCTCCTTCGTTTGTCCAAAGATCTCCACAACGCACCATACAGCAAATATTACCTTGGCAGTATTGTAGATTCCCCTGGATTGGTACATAGTTTTCAGGTAGCATGGAATGAGAGCAGTGTGCCAATCATTGGCGATGAAGATGACATCCTCACCTGCCCAAATTTTGAAAAATTAGGTACAGTTTGTAAAGTGATTTTTTGATACTACAAGTAAAAGTCCAGAACTCTCAGACAAAGATGAATACCATATGGTCCAGAGAAATGTTTACTGCTGTTTAAATTCAAAACTCTTGGTGCCTCCAGAGCTGCCTAAAAGTAACATAAACGCATGAGAATATTAGCAACGCAGCAAAACAGTGTCCATGGTTAACTGAAAGCATGAAGTAAGTAGACACTAAGAAAACCGAGCAGCTTTAGGAAATAAAAAAGCCAATTTATGGATGGTTTCCCATTTGTGACTGCTATATAAGAGATATATATTTGTGTAAAACAGTTTTTAGCTTCAGAATAAACAAACAATCATTCAACTTCATGGAAACCAATTTTGTGGGTCCAATTGACAGTTGGCTTCTCTACATATAGCATAGGAGTACCATAAAAGGCAGTGATTTCAAAACCTATCCGCATGCGAGCACACATATATCTGTCGCAGAAGGCGTGCATTTAGCAAATTAAAACCATACAGAAATTAGAGACTAAAAAAATAGCTTACTAGGCACAACAAGCTAAATCGAAGTTGGTTGTCCTGATAATCATCTCCTGCCTTAGGGCCATAGATCTTTGATCCCGTTTTTCCCCAAACCTTTAAAAGTTCAAATAGCAAGCATTATAGTAACGATTAAGACGAACATTACATGTCCTACAAACATTCCTCAAACATTACACTTTGGCTTCTAAACCCAAGCACTGAAATTCAGAAAAAAGTAACCTTCTCCAGGAACACTGGATGATCCACAAAAACACGATCAACTCCACGTTTATAGCAGTGGAAGAAGCGAACGGTCTCGATTCTGTCTCCAACTCTTATCTGCAACAGAAAAGCTCCAATTTAGTGAACAAAATCCCAAGCACTACGCACTAGCTGAACCACAAAAAAAAAAAGAGGAAATCACCAAGACCATACAATTGGAGAAAAAATTTACCTCAACGAGCACACTAGTGTCCCAAGCATCTCTGTACTGATCATGGCGTGGAGATACTGTCATAACTCGATGCCCATTGGCCTAGATAATGGAAGAAATGGAGATTAGTTACACAGGATGAGCTGGATAGATGACTCAACATATCTCAATTTGGAAAGCTGAGACTTATGCTTACCGCCATGGCAGGTGGCAGTCCACCAAGAACATCACCTAGCCCACCAGTTTTGCTCCATGGGCCCACCTCAACTCCCACAAAAACCAAGTTCATCCCGCTTGCACAAATAATGGCTCCCGAAGGCTTGTCACTCCCAATTTTGGCCTCTTTTCTGCTGGTTTGCCTGGCAGTTACTTTTCCATTGGCTTTCTGTTGTAGGATGTCCACAGTTGTTAAAGATCTCAAGCCATTGTGAGTTGCCGTTTGGCTCCTTAGGCCTATTTGTGCCAAGTTTGTTTTATTTTCTGATCTCAAAGTTGCTCCACTGGATACATGTGAGCTTCTTGGTACAAAGTGTGAAGTAGCCAAGGTAGACATTGGTACTGTCCTTGTTCTAAAAGATATAAGCGAAGGAATTTAATAAAATTTTGCAAATTACAATTGCCAGATGCAACAAAAACTTCCTCCAAAAGTATATGGAATTATTTAGAAATACTAAAATGTATATATGTGAAAAAGAGGAGGGGTTGTATGCGTATCTATATATATTTTTAAAGCTGAATTCACCATCCATGCTGGCTTCAATTAGTTACCAAGAGATATATGATCTACCTTATAAACAAGTACAGATAATCTATTAGCAAGATTGGAAAAATCCCACATGCTTCACATTAATTTCATCAAGAACAAGAAGAGAGACAACACCAGCAACAAAGCAGAGCTGGTATGCATCAAAATAAACGGACATATCCATGAGGCTTTATTGTCAGGAAAAAGAATCCTTTATCCTAGCAGTTTTGAATTAGATTTTGCTCGTCAATAGATTATAAAGAGTAACAGAGACAAAACAGTTTAATTAATCTATGCTGAGTCAAATAACTTCACAGATCAATCACCACACATGTTTCTTTTATTGATTGAAGTATTTTGTAGCAATTCCGTACAACTGATCAAACAATAAAGTAGAATCAAGCATAAAAGTAAGAAAAAAGGTGAGCAATCGGAAGGTTTTTAACTTTGACAACTTTTTTTTGGTAAAAAGGGATCTGGGAGAGGCTATAATTACCAGAAGCAGCAATAAAATTTTTTAAATAAAAACCTTGAAAATCAGAGGAACTATTCAGCACAATCAGAGCCAAAACACAAAAAGTCAGTAAGAAGTATAGCAGGGGAGACGCCATTAAAAAGGAGGAATGGTTTACTAGGAGGAATGGATGGAGAATATATTTAAAAAGCTTGTTACTCCATGATCAGCAACTGAGAGAAATTAGGAACATACCGAGCAAATGTCTCACAGTTAGTTACAACTTACAATTACTAGTGTGTGTGTGTGTGAGAGAGAGAAAGAAAGAGAGAGGGGGAGAGATGGACGTACGAGAGGCCACAGCAAAATCTGGAAGAAGATGAGAGTAGCGGAGTAAGCCCTGTGTTGGTGGTGTTACGCAAGTAGTGGTGGTGGAGGGTGAAGGCCATCAAAGAGCCTCCAATTTGTGATGTGTGCCAGGCCCAGAAGCTTGCAAACAAACACACGTGGGGGCATCAGTAGAGTAGTGGGGATCCATCGCTGATTATCAATCCACATCAAAATTCAAAAAAACAATTGAGAGGATCAAGATTTTTAACCACGTCCAACGGCAGACGTTCGAGTCCAAATTTGTTCATTGCTTGCTTGTGTGGGTCCCCCGAATGGAAGTGCCAACCAATAGCACTGATCGCAACGACCCACATATTCCAAAGATTTTCCAGCTCCGCTCCCCGCAAATGAAATGACTCTCGTCCAATCCTAGCCTGGAGGAGAGAGAGAAAGAGATGACCGTAAATACGTAGGAGAGTCAAGAGTGTGAGGTTCAACATTTTCTCTTTCACTTTCATTCCCACTCCCATGCCCAATCAAAACCACTGGCCACTGATTTTTATTCATTGCAATGCTTAGAGAGATATGTAACTGAATGTGCAAGTCTCTCAAAGCTTAAGTATTTCAAGACGTACAGGAGAAAAAGTATCAGCAACCGAATGCAAGCAAGCATTCAAATACAGTTCTAAGAGCTATAGGGAGCAGTGAGTTTTACGCTTTTGAGGCTTTTCAAGGTCTGTTGCTGCGTTGGGATCATCATCCGGGTGAATGACTCCATCTCTGGTTGGTTGTAGGGCTTAAACTAATACATTCTTAATTCATAATATAATGTGAATACGACGGAAAACAGGGTAGAGATTTTGGGCAGCTTTTATTTTCAAAAATCGTTTTTTGTTCTCAAAATTTTAAAAACACCCAAAACCTATTTGATTAGTATTTTTGTTCTCAAATTTTTAGAAAAAAATGAGATTTAAAATACAAAAAATGAGATTTATCTTTTCTGTTTCCCATTTTATATCCTTGCTAAAAATGCACCATTTTCCCCCCAGTTCAATTTTAAAACGTGTAGATCGACGTGTGGGAATTTTTCTTATATTTGACTATCATTAATTGATTGTTAATTTTAGTTTGTGAAAAAAGGTATGAATTTATTATTTAATGAAATAAGCCCAATAGTATTAAGTGATTTATTTTGATGTGTTAATGTATATCTTTTAATTGATGTGGTTGACGCAGTTAAGTGTAGATCTTAATCTAATTGTAACTCGTAATGGGAGAGTTCATTAGATTTTATTATAAATAGCAGGTTAAGTCTCCTATTCACTTTACAACCCTAATTTGACTTGTCCCATTAAGAGTTGTCTATTGCTTTGAAAATGGAGAGGAAGATTTTGCCCTTGAAATCGAGTATCATGACTCATATAGGTATGTTCTAAATCTTATAATTTAGGTGTTCTAAATTTCATATACGAATCATTAAAATTTCTTACATGTAGTATCAGAGTTTATCATATATGAATTTAGAACCTAATTTATTTTATTATTATTATTTTATTTTGAATAATTTGGGATCTCAATTTTTTTTTTTTTTTTTGGTGACCGCCCGGCATCAAAATCTCTTCGTTGTCGATGATTTGAAAATCAAAAGAATTCATTCTTTGATCAAGGTTACTGCTTTTTTTTTACTTCAAAGTAATGTTTGGCGGAGAATTAGCATTGACCGTTGGCTGCCACAATAAGAATAAGAAAAAAAATAAAAAACAAAAAATGGGTTAAAGCTTTCTTGTCAGAGTCAAGAATTGATGGCTACTGGTTAGTATATATATATATATATATATATATATATGATAAAACATTTATGATTAATATATACTCTTTACTTTTGTTAATAACCTGGTATCATGTTGATTCATACAAATTATTTTTTTATGCTTATGTAATTTTGATTGAGTTGTTATAATTTATAGAGGTGTTTATACAATTCTAATTTTAACCCCTAGTGATTTATATGATGAAATTTTTTTATGATCTACAGATTATTTATTAATGTTAGTAGATTTGTATTTAAATTATTTAATTTTAATAGTAAAAATAGAATTAAAACTTGAATGCAACGATTGATGATGGATAATCTAAAGAGATACATATTGATTAGTACTTCATATTGATTGATCACATGATATTTAATTAAGGGTAATTTATTATAATATCCCGGTTTGAAAAATTCTATGAGTTAAGATGGATGGTTGCCACTAAAGTGGTCTATTCATTGAAATTTATAGTTTTTCTCATGTTTTTGTTACGGGATTGTCTCTAAATTATAATATATAATTATTTGTCCAAATGAGATTTTTGTGTATTGTAATTTAGAGATGTCATGAAACATTGTGGTAAAGATGCAATAGTTTAGAAGATTTATCTGTCCAAATGGGATAAATTTTTTAAAACGTAAGCATTCTCATTGGTTAGTTTCATGAAAAATGAGATCTATAACATATTGTATTCTCTGCCCAAAGGGGAGTTTGTAGCGATATATTTGGACTCTCTTAATAAAATATGACTTATTATAGTCAAAGCATATTTTATTTTATTTTATTTATTTTTACTTTTTGAGGGGGAAAGGGAGGGGAGGGGAACTTGAACTCTTGACCTCAAGAAGATAAAACCTTTACAAGACAATAAGTATCATTTGACCAAAAGCCTATTGGTGTATTTTATTTTATTTATTGTCCAATTTTGCTAATTATTTATCTTCTCATGGCCTTGTACAGTTTCTTTTGCTATGAATAGTAATAATACAAACATTAAAGTCTTAACTGGTTCTAATTATAAGAGATGAAAACAAGATATTGAGTTTGTCTTGGGAATTACTGATATAGACTTTGTCTTAAAAGAGAATGAACCTGCTAAACCTACTAGTGAGAATTCCCCTGATAAAAAAATTTTTATGCAAAGTGAGAGAAATCTAATAGACTGAGTATGATTACCATGAAAAGATTTATCTCTGAACACCTTATGAGTGACTTGCCTGAAATCAAGAATGTCATGGAATTCTTCACCGTTGTAGGAGAGAAATACAAGGTATCCAACAAAACTGAAACTGGGAGCCTAATGAATGAATTAACAAGTATGAAATATGATAATGTAGGTGGTGTTAGGGAATATATCCTTAGAATGATTCATGTTTAAACCAAGCTCAAAGCCGTTAAAATTGTTGTTCCTGATGATTTCATTGTTCATCACACTCTCAATTTTTTGTCTCCTGAGTTTAGCCAAATTAAAACTGCTTATAATACCCAAAATGAGTCTTGGACAATAAATGACCTTATCTCCAAGTGTGATTCTGAGAAAAAAAAATTAGAAAAAAAAAGAGTGAAACTGTCTTGTTTGTTTCTTAGCCTAAATCTAGCTTCAAAGGTGTGTATCAGGAAAATAATAGAAAACCTAATCATAATGCTCCAAAGAATGGTAGGGCTTTCAAAAGGCATGATATTGGTTAGAATGTTGGAGGTCCTAAGGCTGTCATAAGAAAAGTGAGTGCACTCGATTCAAATTTTGGTTGGAAAAGAAGAATAAAGAATAAAGTAATTCATTAGCCTTTGTTTGCTTTGAATCTAATTTTGTTAATGTCTCATTAAATTCTTGGTGGATTGATAGTGGAACTTCTGTTTATGTTGTCATAACTTTGCAGGAATTCACAAGCAAACGAAGGCCAAATGAAGGGAAAGTCAAGTTTAAAGTAGGAGATAATAATGAAGTCCATGTTAAGTTCATAGAAACCGTTAGGTTGAATTTAGACACTGATTTTCAACTTCTTTTAGAAAATACTTTTTATGTACCGTCATTTAGGCGGAATTTGATTTCAGTTTCTTTGCTTGATAAAATTGGATATTGTTTTAATTTTAGTAATGATCAAACTCAATTGTCTTTAAATTCTAAAATTGTTGGTCATTGTGTTTTATCAGATATTCTATATAGTATATACTTGGTTGTCAATAATGAATATGATCTTTAAAATATTGTGAATGTTGTATCTAAGAGACATTTCATTAAAAAAAAATCTTCACAGTTGTGGCATAAACATTTGGGTCACATTTCTAGAAAAAGAGTAGAAAGAATAATGAAGAATAATATTCTTCCTCCCCTTGATTTTGGAGACCTTGAAACTTGTGTTGACTGCATTAGGAATAAATTGATCAAGACTAAGAAGAAAAGTGCAACTCGCAATCTAGATCTTTTAGAAATCATTCACACTAACATCAGTACACCTTACTCACGTACATTGTCTGGTAATAAATATTTTATTACATTTATTGATGACTTCTCTCGTTATGGATATATATATTTAATTAATGAAAAATTTGTTGTTCTTGAAAAGTTTAAAATCTTCAAGACTGAGGTAGAGAAACAATTAGAAAAAGTCATCAAAATTGTTAGGTCTGACTGTGGTGATGACAAACATGACGTGTCTGTGCAGTAATTAGGACCGTTTGCCAACTACTTGCAAGATTGTGGGATTGTTGCCCAATATACTATTTTTGATAGTCCCAAGCAGAATGGTGTGACTGAAAGACGTAATCGCTCCCTTAAAGACATGATGAGAAGCATAATGAGTAGATGTAACTTACCTGATTATCTTTGGGGAGAAGTCATTAAAACTGCTTCATACATTATTAATAGAGTTCCTAGCAAATCTGTTTCAAAAATACCTTTTGAATTATGAACCAATAGAAAACCAAACCTTAACCATTTTCGAGTCTGTGGTTATCCTACTGAAGTCAAAATTTAAAACCCTTTTGAGAAAAAGACTGATCCTAGAACTACTCGTTGTTTTTTCATAGATTACCCAGAACATTCTAAAGGATATCAGTTCTATTGTCCTACACGTGGTACTAAAATTGTTAAGTCCTTAACAACAAAATTTCTAGAGCTTGATGTTGTTGATATTAGTTGTTCACAACCTATTAGTGTGCATGAGAAAGATAAATTTATTTCTATTCATTTACCTGTTGTGCAAGAGAATATTATATTTGCTCTTATTGTTAATTTTTCTACTTTAGTTGTTGATCCTCCTGTTCTTACAATTGAACGTTCTGTTCTTATTAAGGCTCTTCAACCCTTAGAGCCTACTATTGAATTTTCCTTGAGAAGGTCTACAAGATCGAGGAGACCTGTTATTTCTGATGAATATTATGTATACCTTGGTGAAAGTGATTATGATATTGGTGATTCTGTAACATACCATGATGCTATTATTTATCCTGAATCTAATATATGGCTAGGTGCCATGAAAGATGAGATGTATTGTATGACACACAATGAAGTGTGAGAGGTTGTGGAACTTCTTGAGGGATGTAAACTCATTGGTTGTAAATGGGTGTTTAAAACTAAGATGGATTCCAAAGGTAAGATTAAAAGATTTAAAGCTAGATTGGTAGTAAAAGGGTATAGGCAGAGGGAATGTATAGATTTTAATGAAATTTTCTCACCTATTTCTGCTAAAAATTCTTTTAGGATCATTATGGCATTAGTGACTTATTTTGATCAAGAACTTCACTAGATAGATGTGAAGACAACTTTTCTGAATGGTGAGCTTCATAAAGAAATTTATATGATGCAACCTGAAGGTTTTAAGGAGAATGGAAAAAAATATTTAGTGTGCAAGTTGAAGAAGTCTATCTATGGTCTCAAACAGGTTTCTCGTCAGTGGTACTTGAAATTTAATAAGATAGTAAGTTCTCTTGGTTTTGTTGAGAACAAGATGGATCAATGCATATATCTTAAGGTCAGTGAGAGCAAATTTATTTTTCTTATTCTTTATGTTAATGATATTTTGCTTTCAAGTAATGATTTAGGCTTACTTCATGAGATTAAGCAATTGTTGTGCAAAATATTTAACATAAAAGATCTTGAGGAAACATCTTTTGTGTTAGGCATTCAGATTCATCGGAATAGAAGTCATGGATTATTGGGACTTTCTCAAATGACATATATAGATCGTGTGCTTGAAAGATTTAATATGCATAATTGTAAGTTTGGGGATGTACCTGTTGTGAAAGGTGATAAATTTAGTTTAAATCAATGCCTTAAGAATGATCTTGAGAAGGAGTTTATCAAGAGTATACTTTATGCGAGTGTTGTTAGCAATTTAATGTATGCACAGGTTTGTACTAGGCCTAACATTACTTTTACAATTAGTATTCTTGGCAGATATCTTTTCAAACCAGGATTAGATCATTGGGTGACACCTAAGAAAGTTATGAGATACTTGCAGAGAACAAAAAATTACATGTTTGTTTATAGGAGAGTTGATAATCTTGAGGTGATTGATTACTCAAATTCATATCTTACTGGGTATCAGGATGATTTAAAATCCACTTTAGGATATATTTTCATGTTAGCCGAAGGAGCAATATCATAGAAGAATATTAAACAAACTCTCACAGTTTCTTCCATTATGCAAGCTGAATTTGTAGCTTGTTATGGAGTTACAACACAAGCTATATAGCTAAGGAATTTTATTTCAAGACTTATGATTGTTGATTTCATCTCTAGACCATTAACAATTTATTGTGATAATAATGCAGCTGTGTTCTTCTCAAAGAACAATAAACATTCTAGTGGGTGTAAACATATGAAAATTAAATATCTTTCTGTTAGGGATCTTGTGAAGAAATGTGACATTTTGATTGAACATATTGATACAAAATCAATGTTTGCTGATCCTTTAACCATGTGACTAAAACCTGTAACTTTTAAGAAACATGTTGACAATATGGATATTTTAGGATCTTTTGATGTACTTGGTTAGTGAGAGTTTTTTTTTATATGTTAAGAACTTTAATGTTTATTTAATTTCATATGTGATATTTGCTACTCATTATGGTTGAGATACATCTATTTGATGAATAATAAATATTTGATGAATATGTTTATTGTTAGTATAATATTCTTGTTATGTTATATGTGTACACATTTATGATATGTCATTTTATACAAAATCTTAAGACTTGGTATATGTCTTAAGTATGACTGGTTTGTCAATTGAGTATGTTTCTGATTACACCATTTGAGAAAATCTTGTAATTTTAAGTTTGGAGACATACTAGTTTATTGTTGAAACTAATGGATTTCTCTAGCTTATTATTGAAACATGTTGTTAAAGAGAAATCATTTGGTGAACTGACAATGAAAATAACATGTTTATCAGATCACATATTGAGATGTTATTTTCTTACTACATTATCACATCTTGATCCATGTCAATAGAATTATTATTTTTTGATATCATGGATTAGTCCTATGTCAATAAAGGATGTAAAAACCGTCATGGTTCGAAAATAGTAGTTTTATTGGACTGGATTGTGTTTGAGATGTTGTCTCAAGACCACATTATTTTTTATTGTGGCCACATTGAGTTTTGTTTGATTAGCCTAGAGTCGTTTTCAAATAATACATATAATTTTATTTTATTTCTAAATGATTATAATTAATGTTGTCCAAGTGGGAAAATGTTAAAATTTTTTCTATATTTGACTGTCATTAATTGATAGTTAATTTTAGTTTGTGAAAAACGGACTGAATTTATGGTCCAATGAGATATGCCCAATAATATTAAGTGATTTATTTTAATGGGCTTATGTATATCTTTTAAATAACAAGCTAGGTCCCATTTTCACTTTATAACCCTAATTTAGTTTATCCCATTGAGGGTCGTCTATTACTTTGAAGAATGAGAAAAAGATTTTATCATTTCAAGAAAGAAATTCGAAAATCGAATATCGTAACTCATACAAGTATATTCTAAACCTTATAATTTAAATGTTCTAAATTTCATATACGAATCATTAAAATTTCTTATAAGATGTTCCATAAAAAAACATATTTAACAGATATATGCCCTTAGATGTACATCATGATTCATGAACCACACCAATAATTACATGTGAAATGGAAAGTTTGATGCCAACCATATATACCATAAACAGGGCAACCCCGTTGTCTTCACAACAGAAGAAGAACAATGAAAAACATTCAACAACACACAATTACCACCACCCCACCTGTGGAGAATCAAATACACTCGGCTGGAAACCGTGACCGAGACTAACGGATGCATAGTTTTTATGTAGGCAAGTGAATAAAGATGCAGACATTCAACCCTTCGCCTAGAAAGGCAAGTAATTTAGTTGCTTGCCTATCAATATCTAATTCTAGCCAGACGCCAGGAACAAGCTAAGCAAATGATCAAGGAACCAGCCAAGCAAATGAAACTTCCACCAAACCAACCAATTCGCCCGCTGAGTATAATAAAATTGCAGGGTACACATTCAAACAGCTCATATCCTTCAGTAACACCATATAAGATGATTTCAAACAAGCCCTAAATTTCCGGTACAAAGACAAATGAATGAGGAGTTGGAAGTGGAACAACAACATAAAAAAACACAAGGGAAACCGACGAAAATGACCCTCCCATCAATCACAAATCAAATATCAGAGCAGAGCAGAACAATAATAATTAAATGGGACTACAGGCCTATAGTTAATGCTGTTTTTCGAATCTTTACAAATAATGCTATAGTCAACAATTAACGCTGCCTTTCACAACCGTCCATGCAATACGATTAGGCGAAAGAGACAGACGGCTCTCGTCTCTGGGTCACCTGTGTGCCGTCACCAAAGTCTCGATGAACCTCAAGCCATCAAATCTTGGGGCGAATTTCTCCCTATCGGACGACATCACTTGACAAGTGGTAGCGCCACCCTTCCCCGAAGAAGAAGATGAGCCCTGTCAAAACCATACATGATAAATTGAATTAGTACTTACAGGAAAAAATATAATTGAACTAATGTAGAACATCAGGAAAGATGAACTATAGCTTACAATTCCAGGAATTCAGTCATTGGTTTGAACTGATGATCTCATTTGAACTTCAAATTAACACGAAAATTCACAAGCACAATTTGTAAGCGTCGAAAATATAATATTAGGCAGATAAAGCATTCAGGGGAAGAGACGAGAGAGTATTTTTAGCTAAGATCAAAAGGTTAATTTCCAATCTTATTCATAGAGCCACATGAAATCCTGCTTTAATTTCATCAGTCCCAATTCGATCAACAAGCCACGAAATCTAGAACAAAATATTTGTCAATTTCAAACTCGAAAAATGTAAACAAAAGGTGAAAGCAATAATAGACGATGCGCAACTTAAATTAGATGGTGAAAAATCTGAGAAATTAACGTGAACAGGACAGTTACAGAACCAAAATAGACAAGAGGAGAAGAAGTTACCATATTGGAGCAGGGATTGAAAGAGACGTCAGGATGAGCCGAGGAAGAGGTGAGAGCCACTGTAGATGCGACGAGTGCGGACGCAACAAAAGAGCAAGAGCCCTTCATTTTCATGAAACCACTGTCCGATTAGAAGACCCCAGCACAGATGAACGGAACAGATCTTGTGGAAGCTCCAAATGGAATGAACGAAACCCGACGAAGTTCGCCGGATCTCGACCGCCTCGCTTTCTCTGTAATTCTTCTTGATATGGTTTCGGTGCGAGTCCCTTCCTTCTGCCGGTATTTACAAACATTTGTATTATTATTAAGACAAATTACACCAACGCTTTAAAATTTGTCACTTAGACATTTAATATTTAAAATATTACAAACGGATCTCTAAAGTTTGTATACACATAATACTTAAACTCCAACCGTCAATTTTCATTAGTCTATCTGCTAATAAATTATATCTAGATCCCCTAAAATTTATAAGATATAATATTTAAATCCTTTAAGTTTTAAAATTCATAATTAATAAGAAAAATTATAGTCAAACCCTTTTTAATTTACTATATTTTTAAGGACACTCATTCTATTTTTTGAATATTCACTAACACTTCCTATCAGATTAAATGTATTAACTAAAGCATAATTTTACAAAAATACCCATGATAAATTTTAGAAAAAACTTCATCCACATGCCCTCTAAATAAAAATATCTTCAATGAGACTCCTCGTGTATTCTAAATTTTTTTTATATATTAAAATTTGGGCATATTAAAATTAAATTTGAGTTAATTAAAATTTATTTTTTACTTATTAAAAATTATATTTTTTTACGTATTAAAATTAGAGCTGATTAAAATTCTATTCGAACTGCTCGAATCAAATTTTAATCGACCCCAATTTTGAGACATAAAAAAAATAAAATTTAATAGACTCAAATTTTAAAACGTAAAAAATAAATTTTAATTAATTTAAATTGAATTTTAATAAATAAAAAAATATAAATTTTAATCGACGCTAACGGATCAAGTAAAGATCAAGTAATAGCTTGAAAATACGTACTAAAATTTAATCAATTTGAATATATTCAAATTTTATATATGTTAAAAAATGAATTTTATTCGGCTTGAATTTTATATAAAAAGATTATTTGAGATTTATTTAGGGGCAACTTTAATATTCACATGAAATTTTTTGTTAGAAAAGGTTGGTTTAACGATAAGGGGATGTTAATGATATTTAAATATAAACTAGAAGGGATGTTATTAGTATTTTTGATAATAGAGAGGGTGTCCTTAAAATATGATAAACTACAAAGGATGTGGCCAAAATTATTCCTAATTAATACTGTTGATGTCAAAAATTTGGATGGCCTACACGTCTATTTATTGGGCTTAGATCACTCAAAAAAGAAGTCGAAGACCAGAGGGATTGCTTTAGAGGTCAACTCTTCGATGTCTAAATTAATAAGAGATTCAAAGATATAAACTGCGTATAGTAATCAATATAAATATATTAAATAACTCAATTAAACACTTATTTATATATAATTATACTATCTAATGAAATAAAACTAAATAAAGAGTCAAACTGTAAATGAATACAATATATTCTATTTTTAATTAAGATAATTTGGCCGTTTAAGAAATTCTGTTAGTTTCATAACTAATAATAAATTTAATTGTAATATTTTAAAATTGAATAGTTTAAGTATTACAAACTTATAAATTTTAGGGAGTTTAAATATAATTTACTAACAGATAGAGTAATGGACATTGATAACAGTGATATAAGTGTTACGCATGTTCAAATTTTAGGGAATCTGTGTATAATATTTAAATGTTAAAAAATTTAACCGATTAAGTGACTTATTGTAATTTTTCTTATTTATTTTTCCCTCCGTTCTTAAATATTTATCGTTTTATCCAATTTTTTTTATTCTATAATATCTGTCGTTTAATGAAACTAAAACATAATTAATATTTTTTAAAAAAAATTTATCCTTAACTTTTTAATGCATTAGATTAGATAGAGGCTAAATGATTTTCATATTCTTTTTTTTTTCAATACGTATTGAATAAAAGTATTTTAGTGTTGTGTAATTTTTTTTTACTCAACTATTTAATAATTTTTTTAATTTTTGTGTAAAAATCTTAAACGAGATATATTTAAAAACGGATGGATGGTGTATTATTTAACATCCCCACGCTTTCCTCATTTAGAGAGGTCAATCGTCACCGACCGTCAGTATGGCCTGGTTGGGGGGGTCCAGGCCATTCCCATCAGATCTCACCCACCTCAAAAACAGAAATATATGTGCTCCAGTTCGTCGCCGATAGGACAGTTAATGAATCCATCCATTCTCATGCCATGCGAGCCTTTAACTTTGTAAAAGTAAATATGGCTAATTGGGTGTAATTATTAGGGGCGTAACTCGGATGGGTTGAACGGATCGGACAATCAATTATAGTTTAACTCTAGGTATATAATTTTTAATCTTAAGTTTAATCTTAACCCTAACCCTACCTCGGATTGGGGAACTCAACCCAATCACTGCCCAAGTTTAATTCGGTTAAATTCGGGTAGAGCCCAAAATAAGCTTATTGTTCTAAACCTAATACATATATTATATAATATTCACCTAAATTAGCAACCAATAACTTCAACCAAGTTTTTAACGAGAAAGACTAAAAGAACGAGAAAGACAGAGAATAATATAACAAAAATAAAAAATCAGTGCTAATGTTTTATATATATAATTTTTTTTTTAATTTGTCGGGTTCGGGTGAAACTCGGGTTCACGAGGCCTTAACCCGAGCCCAATCCAAATTAAATTCGGGTTGGAATTTTTTGACCAAAGTTCAACCCAAGTATTAAAAACTCTTACCCAAACTCTAATTTTTTCGGGTTGAGCTCGGGTTGCCAAACCCAAGTTGCACCCCTAGTAATTATAGTCTTGAAAAATTACTTTTCAGTTTAATATGTTATAAATATGTAATAATGTGAAATTATTTTATTTTGTTATTTTAAATTATGTTTATAATTTTTCATTAATAAATATAAATGAATTAAATTAAAATATCCGATTTTAAATTATTTTTAGTATATTACCATAAAATTTGACAATTATGTAGACTTGTCCTAATTACATACTCTCTGTATTCAAAGATCTATACATTAATGAATCTTGAAATGCATGTATTTTTTTTTTTTTTTTTTGAATTTGCTTGGGTAATATGTTTTACTTGCAAAGAATGATTAATGAATCTCATTCAAACTAGCATTATCAAACTAAATTTTAATTCATCTGAATTTATATTTACTTTGAATATTATGATCCCATAATTCGATATATTTTATTTTTTAGGTTATATCTAAATTCATTAAAAAATTCAATTCCATCAAATAATTATTTAGTTGAAATTTTACAAATTACATGTAGCCTATATTTAAATAAACATATATGAAATTTGCATCAGAGCACAACCGCATCAACAAATTGGTAAACGAAATGAAAAATAAACCAACAACCAGAATGTCACGGAGAAATCGAATATGCCTGTCATTTATTTGTGGAGAGTATGAGATCCATCAATGAGATTTCGATTGTCAAAGAATACAGTTCTACACCATCTATTCTCTCTTCCTGACCAGTAGCTGCCTCACAGCTCAAACCAAAAGAAAAGGAATGCAACCTGCTATCCCTGACACTGAGAGAAGCAAGAATTCCAGTTCTAGCCTCGAGATGCTTCTGCCTCGCTGCGAGAGCAGAGCAGGTTTCTTTGGCCAGCATCTTCAAGTAAGATGCCAAAGCATCCAGCATCACAAGCTCTTTCCAATCTTTGCAAGCCTTCTGGCAACTCCAAATATTACTGCCTTAGTCAAAAGCCCCTGGTCAAGACTACAAACAAGGGCAATAGCCCCCCCAACGACTAGAAACTTGGGTATGTTCCTCCCCAGTGGCTTCTCAGATGAATCCAGGGTTTCAACCTCTGATGTACTAGTTTTTGTGCCCTCCAATGATCTCAGGTAATCTGCACTAACTTTGGTCTTGATCTGAGCCATGGAAGCACATTGTGAGAGTGGAGCTCCGGATGCTCTCTCCCTCTGGTATGCACGTAAACCCGCGTCGATCTTCTTGACAGCTCCCCACATACCCTGCCGGACACCAAGCTTTGCAATTTCCCAAGAAAAGCCCATATCTTCATGATGAAAGAGTAACACCTCACATGCAGTCAGTTGGCCATCGCCTCTCTTTGATTCAACTGATTCATGCAAGTAGACATACATCTTTGTCATTGATTGGACTTGATGGTAAGAAGTCGTCTTAAAGAGAAATTATTTCATTTTCGGAGTGCATAAGTTGCTTTTCCCATTGCAGACAGACTCAAAGACCAAGAAAGTTGTTTTACACAACAGATGAAAATTGAGAAATCCATGCATAACAATCATTTGATCAAATTGCATGAAACTATTGCCACAACTGTTGTGCACAGTTTTTCAGGGCAACATGCAATCTTCCAATTAGATTCATTAAACCACCATTGAAGTAACAAAAGAGCTTGTAATACAAATAGGCTCTCAATTCTGAATTACCTGCACGAATACACCAACTTGAGTAATACAAATCTACACGTCTTGGTTTGTTGCACTGCGGCACATAGGAGCAGGGTACACCCTGAAACACAGACAAACCCATACAAATTGGAACCCTAGAGACCACACATAATCAGAAAGAAAACTGATCAATATATATTTAAGCACTATTTTAAAAGGACAGCATATCAATGTTCCTGGATATTTCAACAGGGACTTCTCTGATATTCATATTGTCACTTCTACCTCAGCCCCACAATCAGCAACTGCCCCATCACTATCTTGCCTCTGCACATATAAGGCCATGGAGACGATGCCAAAACAGGGCCAAAAACAGACCACAGAAGAACACAAAAGAATCTACATCACAGAATATGAAACCATACAAAAAAACTATCCACGGTGGACAGCCAGTAATCAAAGTAACACTCCACGATCCAAAATGACCCAGACCAGAGTCGAAAGACCGATGGACTCTAAACCAAATTTACACTAGCTTCAAAATCATCATCCTAGCACAATAGTGTCTGTCTGACACAGAAATACACTCAGCCATGCAAAGTTGAAAATATTAAGATTACCCTCCATTTCCAAAAGCCAATTTGCAAACTCTTTTTCTACTCAGAGCCTTTCTCATGCAAATAATGGAAGAATTAGGGGTATGGCCGTATGAGTAGCATAAAGTATGCATTAACCATTTAATAACTTGTGCTTTACAAGTATAAATGGCTTGGTAAAGATCTATTGGTGAGGACTGTGAAGGGACAAGACAGATACTTCAGAACCATTTGTTGGGCAGAGATTTGGCCAGAAGTAATTTTGCCCAAGGTGGAAGATGCACAAAATAAGAGCAGTTCTGTTAGTTCCTTAACACGATTTCAAAGTAACAAGCAGATATACAATATGGACCGAGGATAACTAGACAGTAGGGATAATTCATGGATCTCTCACCTTAGTAACACAATAGTACGTTTGTCCTGATTCCCATATTCGACGGCCTATAATGTATTCCCTGTCGCTACAGAACAAGGGAAACTGTGCCATGGAAAAGCATTGCCCTAAATTAGTCAATGTTACGTGCAGAAAGACAGCATAATATAGGCACAAGAGATGCTACTCCTACCTTGCGCACCCAGCGGACAACCATGTTTCCTGTGGTGGGGCACTTCTCCAAGATTTCAGCATGTATAAGCATGTCATCCCACTTCAATCGAAACTCATCATCCCAAAAGAAGTCTCTCAGCATTTCAGGGGTGGCATCCTCGTAGACAGTTCTGCTACGATATTGTGGAGGCCCAGTCTACAGAAGCCAATCAAATGTAATGCAGAGTTAAGCACACAGATGGCATAATCACTACAAAATAATGCAAGTAAGAACATGTATATGCACCATTTAGAGGTAGGAAGACTTGGTATAAGTAGTCATAGGTTCAGTAACAGGTGCCAATGTATCCAGAAGACGACAAGTATACAACACGTCGAGAAAGTAAAGCATACCTCAGGATCCCTCCGCCAAGCTTTATAGCTCATATTCGGTGTAGACCGGTCCATCATCTGAATCCAAGCAGGGCCTGCATCATTTTCCTCGACAAGTCGGCATAAATGTACCAAGTCACCTTCCGTCACTAGACCCGATTTTTCTCTTTCTAGCTGCGATAAACTGATCATATACAATCAAGCTGTCAAAAGCTACAAACTTTCAATTCCAAATGATTTCCCAACATGTAGGCAAAAATTACGTAGAATCAGTCAAACTGAAAGCGTGAGTTGGAATTTCTGACCAAGAGGTTAGACTGATTAAAGTAACAATTTTATTCTTTTACCAACCCTGTACAGAGAAATTTAAAAAATAGAGAAACCCAACCCACCTGCAGTCAGAATTCGAGTTTGAAGATGCAGATGTTGTTTCCTTGGTAAAGGTACGGTCAGCAATCCAAGAAATGCAGGTGGGCAATTGCAGTTTTAATGAATTCAAGCTCGGAATCGAACCAAAAGGCGTTGGCAAGGGCTGGCCAGAAGAGGAAGCGGGCGATGGTGGAGAATCTCCCACACAGCCCCTGTTAATATTGGCCCATTTAGGCCTCCAAGACCATCCAACCAGAACACCAACAAAAACCGCAATCCAAAGAGGTGTCAAGAACAGCATGAGCTCCATCAACACATCGGCAATCGAGGGTCTTTGCAAGATCTCAAATAAAGCCGAAACCAAAGCCATATGGAGCACTAGGAAACAATAAATGAATGCAAAAAGAAAGCAAAACCCTCGATTCAATTGAACAAAGGCACAGCCAATAAGCAAATCGATGACTCGAGGGTTTAAAAGAAAGAACCAGGAGGAAAGATAAACCCTAGCTAGGTTTCATTGGAAGATTGTGGGGGAAGATGAGATGAGAGAGAGAGAGGAATGAAGAAGAGGAATTATTATGGGTTTTTGCAGGAGAGCTGACAGAAGAAGACAAAGTGGGGATGCTTGCGTAAGGGAATTCAAACGGGGAGCTGAAAAGGATAAGGATGCGATAGATAAGCGGTCGAGAAACGTTGGTGCTCCGATTGGCAAATGTTTCTCTTTGTACTTTAATAAACGTTTATTGCCCCCAACCAAAATCTCTCCCAACACTTGGCCATTGGCCCGAATAAACACAGAGATCGGAGTGGATTAGGATTTGAATGCTACTCCTAAACTTGCTTGCTAGTTTAGGAGTGATTGATTGTACTACTACTGCTATCGTATTCCTCATTCCCAATATTGATCAATATTGGGGGTATCGTATTACTATTGGGTATATTTCTAAATCGCGTTTTTCACGTTCCTTGCCTGCCTACCTGCCACGGATATTATTTTGACTACTACTACATAAACACATGTTGAGACAGACAGCCACAGGAGGAGCACGTGGATGGGGATTAGGCTAATTGGTCCATAGAGTTGATTGTAGGTACCATGGGATCAATTAGTCTTTAACGCGGGGCTGCGGATGGATGAATAGCACATGAGTAATCTTCTAATCAAATTTTAAAATTAAATTTAGAGTCTAAATGACTTGACCTTCTTTATTTGGTGTCATATCATTTAGACTCCAAATAATATATTGTCAATTCATTTAAACTCTAAATTTAGTCAACATAGCATTAAATGTCATTTATATCGTGTTATTATTATTCATATCGTATTTTTTAAGATTTATGAAAAAAATCTATTTAATGTGTTATAAATATTAATTTAAATTATTTATTATATGTATTTAATAATAATGTCAATTTTATAATCGTTCGAGTTGACTTCGTATCAAAATATCAGAGTTAACACCCTAAATTTTGGCCCAAATTAAATTAAATTTGATGACATAGTGTCGACTGTGTATGTGTATAATTAAAAAACATGTTGGGTCCCTTACCTTGCTATAATATTGAAACTCCTATTCATCGTCTCCGGCTAAAGGCACCATGTAATATAAAAAAAATCATAAGCAATTATCCAATTTTAAAAAGAATGGCTCGAAAATATTCAAACCAATTATTTTAAAATGATCCGAAATATGCCCTTGAACATATCCTCCATATTAATAAAACTTTCACAAAAATATACAAAACATTCCAAAAATAACATCATATATATAAATACATAAGGAAAAAAATACTAATGGGACATTTGTGATTAAAATGGACGTTTGTATTGCAGTTCTGTTTGATTTTTTTTTGTATAAATAATAGATTAAATGTTTTATTTATGAATTATATATTTGTAGTTTTTGTTGGTGTGGAAGTGGTGATCGCGATTTGACTGACTTTGATTTTTTTATTTTTTTTGTGTGCAATCGATATCACTTTTTTTTTTATTGATGATTAATTTGGGCTTTGTTTTTTTTTTTTTTTTGAGAACTATAGATTTTCATATAACGAAATTGGTATCGCTTGTTTTTTTTTTATTTGTGACTATCTTGGGAATTATTTTTTTTTTTTTAGAGGGGGGGGGGGGGGGATGGGGACACACAGGACTGCCTTATTTTATTGGTAACTAGGAGTAATCCGTGCCTGAAGGCACGGTGCAATATAAATTAACCAATTAATTTGAAAAGGTAATGAGTGAAGATCTTTAAGAACAGTGACAGAGTCAAATATATGATTTAGGGTGGGCACATTTTATATTTTTTATATTAGATTTGATATTTAAAAATTCATTAAACATAAAAAAATGTCTATTTGAAAAAAATTAATAAGATAACATCTATTAAGGATCAATAATATAATTTATTTGATATAAATAAAAGCAATATTCTATAATTTTTAATTTTTTTATAAATTCTATATTTTACTCATTTTTGGCTATCTATTATATAATTTTTGAATCAAATGAGACTTCAACAAATCATATCAATACTCTAAGGAATTAATTTTAATTTGTTAATTTTAAGAGATTTGGTATGGACCTTTTGTTTTTGTTTTTTTGTTCTAGTACCCAACTTGTTTGATTCAATGAATTTTATTTTTCATAAATTCTTACAGTGGGTCCAACTAATCTAAAAAAATATAAAACATATATAATTAAAAAAAATATTTTTTTTCAAGGTACCCCCCTGACCCCTCCTCCCTCCGCCACTACCAGAGAAAGAGAGTGAAGAATGAGAAGAAAAAGGAAAAATTCAATATAAATGGTATTGAGAGAGATGTTGGCGATCGTTGGATAAGTTTATTTGAGACCGTTGGATGGGCTTGTTGAACCCGCCCTGTTTTATATTATATAATCCACAAAATAAAATAGAATTGACTTAAAAAAAACATTAATTTATATACATGTAATTAACATTGAATATTAATTTATATACATATAATCAAAATCGAGTTAAATTTAATACCAACTAAAATTTTAATTTATCAAAAAGTATATTGCCAAAATATTTTCTATCAAAAAAAAATCTACAAATATCATTTATAAAATATTATTTTTTTAATTATTACAAGTTATTACAAAATTATTAATTTAAAAGAATATATTGGTGTTGGATTTCCTTAAGATATAAAAATAATAATCTTGAATTTTTTATTCAAGATATATATAAAACATGTTAGTTTGAGATAATTAATTAAACAAATAAAATTTAAATTAATTATATTCAATATAAATGTGTTAAGTAATGCCATTGTCTTTGTTTAATCTTAAATTGATGAGTTTTTTTTAATCAAAATGTTATCATTGTGTCTTATACAAATTCAAAATATTACACTATACATAAAATATTAATAGCTAATTTGACCGATTTAATTATTATGTCAAAGAAAATCATGTATTCTAAAATCAGTCGTAATCGTTGACCGGTTATGAGGAAAAATATTAAGGAAAAAAATGTTAATTTCTTGACTGTTTGATAAATAAATTTGAGACCGTAAAATATGTTCTAAGATCAGCCGTAATCGTTGACTTATTGGGGGGAAAAATATTAAGGAAAACAATTGTAATTTCTTGACTATTGAATGAATGAATTTGAGACCAAGGGATCGGTTTGTTGAAGCCGCTCTGTTTTATATTATAGATTAGCTTTGACTTTGAATTGTTTTTTTTTTTCAATTTATTAGAATTATGTCTTTTTTTTTTTGGTTAAATAATGCCTTCAGGTTCAGGCAATTGTTTGTAGAATTATAAGAGACTTTATTATTTGAGTTTTTTTTTAAACTTATTTTATACATTGCTTACGTAAAATTAAAATTCAATAAAGTTTTTTGTAATGGATATTCTTTCGGCCAATCATTTATCACAATCAACAAATAATATGAAAATTAAAAAGAATAATTTTAGTATTACGTACTTGGTAAAAGAGAAAAATAGTTACCCCAAGTCCAAAAATTACTAAGTATGAAAACCACTGTATGACTAAGTAAAATCATTGTTATTAACCACAACACATACTATTAAACAAATAATAAAATAAAAAGTTCAATATTGAAATCAACAACTCCAAAATCATCATGGTTTACGGTGTAACCTAACACAAATAATAAAATAAAAAGTTCAATGATTTAGTTGAAGTAAAGAAAAGCATTTACTCAATGACAAATTCAAAGATCTTATATGATTCCAGATTTAGCAAGAACAAGGAGAACACCAAAACAATCAAATAGACCAACTACAACACATTAAATAATGTGCGTGCAAGATCCTGCACAATATAAAAAACGAGAACAGATCTCTCTCTTGGTGAACTTGAGTGAGCCAGTTGAGTGACCAATCACGCTGCTTGGAACAGCCTGCGAGGTCCGGTGGTAACCTGGAACGGCAACGGGAGACCCTGGGGGAGCGGAAGAATGATCCAGTAAGGCTGAAAGAGGTTCCTGGAACAAAGAAGAACAAGTTAGAAGGGCGTCAGAGTGTTTTCCGGCGTATCCCCTCCGACGATCTAGTCAGTCTTTGAGAAAGAGAGAGGAAGGAAAAAACACTGAGTGTGTATTGTAGTAAAGAGTTTTTTGTTGCATACCCGTCTTGCCTTTTGCAAAGAGTATTTATACCTCAAAAGCTCATGATTGCTGTCAGTGTAGTCAGTAGGTGATCATTAGGTACAGGCAGTGTGCGCACTGATTCTGATGAGGAATGTCTTCTCTTCTTAACTGCTCGGGGTCCCGAGCAATCAATGTTGGGTCATCGGAATGCCGACGGTACAATGTACTCCTCTCGGGGAGGATGCAATAAATGCTCTGTATTAGGAGCATTTATTGCCTTTCACTTCCGAGCCTTACCGCATTGAATGCGGTCTCATCAAGGGAATGGTGTAATTAATCGTTTGCTTTCTAAAGTCGCGTGTCAGCAACGGCATGCGATTTCTCTGTCTTCGATGTGATATCATACGCCACGCGTCCATCCCCTATTGGCTGTGACCCCTGCATTCCAGTACGTTCTGACACTAATTGTGTAAGACGAGGTCATGATGAATAGCCTAGACTAGCCTAAGCTAATGACATGTACGTCAATAGCTTATCCTGGAGTAGAGGAAGCGTCCAGGACGGGATACCTCTCGGCACCGAGGAAAGGCTCATCTCGAAACCGAGGGAGGTACACCGACCGAGGTACCATATCAGACCGAGGTTACGTGTTGGTTGTAACTCGTACTGAATGCCATGATCCTATATGACGAGTACCTCAGGGGCGAGGACCTTTATGCGCCGATGATGCTTGATCTTAGCAATAGTGTTTTGGTAAATACCGAGAACACGTGTCTTCATCATGGAGTATTTCAGAAAAGTTCCATCAAATAACACTTCTAAAGCAAATGATCAATTACATTAAAATTAACTCATGCTAAGCCGCATAACTTATACAGTTTCAGCAAGTTTCAGCAAATTTAAGTAAGCTGTTATCACTTCATTAATTTAAGTAAGCCCACATAAACCCAATCCAAAAAAAACCAAATAAAGTATATCAAAAGCAAAAAATTGATCAGTTACCCAAAAAAATCGAGTAGGCCAAAAGAAGATTTTTTGATATTCCGCAAGATATCGGATAGGGATGCGGAATACTTATAATATTTTCATATTCCTAACTTATCCTATATATATATACTAGTTATAACTCAAGCTTGGAGACATGATAAATTATAAATTCGAGCGCCCAGAAAATCAATCTCACTATTTTAAATTTTTTCAACATGTGTATATTATCGTATATGAATAATGTTTAAAATAAAAATTATATTAACTACAAATTAATCAAATATTAAATGATTAAACATATGATAGAAATGAGTGATGTGATATTTTTAAGGGGGAAATATA